GATAAAACTGACCTGTCTGTTTCTTATAAACATTAAATTGGTTTTTATATGTATTATTGCTTGGCTAAATGCATAGCATAAAGAAAACCTTTGATAAATATTAGCTATAGTTATAACTATGGAATCAATTATTTTATATATTATATATGATATTATATATACAAAATCAGTAGCTAGTAGTACTGTTAGAAACCCAATTCAGCAAATGAGTTATCCTAACAGAATTTTTAATAATTTTAATTTTAATAATTTTATTAAAGATGTTATATTTCCCCAAGCAGCAACTTTAGTGGTAACCATAACAGCATATAAGATATATAATGCTTTCCAGTGCCGTTTGATATTTATTATACCTCAGTAATAGCTGAAAATGTAGCCCGACTGATGAGGCTCAGTGGTTGAGCATCGACCCAGGCACCAAGAGGTCTCCAGGTCAATTCCTGGTCAGGGCACATGACCAGGTTGTGAGCCAAATCCCCAGTGGGGGGCATGCAGGGGGCGGACAATAGATGTTCTGTCTCATCAATGTTTCCATCTCTTTCTCTCTCCCTTCCTCTCTCTCTCAAATCAATGAAGAAAAACAAATTTAAAAAAAGAAGGTGTAGAGAATGTAAACACTTTCCATCTATTTTAGTCTGCTTCAATTTTAGCATCTGTGAAATGGGAAAAATAGTATTGATCTCTCAGTTTTTGTGAGTATGAAATGTATTAATCATGCAAAGTGTATTGAAAAGTGCTTGGTTTCTGCTTAATTTATGTTAGTGTTATTATTTCTTTAAATATTATTTTATTAGTTATTATTTTCTTAAATAGCTGCCAGATTGTAACAGGACCTGAAATATAATCACTTAGAATTTCTGCTGTAGGATGAGAGAACTCCAGGGTTACTGATTTAGGAGGATTTGTATTTCTATGTGGTCTAGAGGTAGGATTGATATCCTGTTAAGGCTCGTAATTAAAAATGATTTGCATAGGAAAATTTGCATAGTAATTATATTTCTGGCATATTTTAAGTTAAGGTAGGTGCATTAAAATATATATGTATCAGTATACTTTTTCATTCCCCAGGACATTTAGAAAATTAAAACATTCTTCTCCTATAAGTGCTATTGTAAAATGAAAAATTTCTCTGAGAAAAGAACAAACAGAATTTTAATTAAGTCAGTAGCACTTAATAGATTTCCACCCCTGTGTGGAATTTTTTCCAGTCCATACTTTTTAAGTGTTCTCTGTTAGTTTGTTTTTAATAGGGATTGTTTTTGTTGTCGTATACATAGGATTTTCTTGATAAAATTTTCTATTTGTCTAAAATGAAAAAACAAAAGCAGAGACCTGTTCTTCCCTCTATAATAACAAGAGCTATTTTGAGGAATGGCTTCCATTCTGAGAAAAATTATAGTTACATACCAGGGCTATTTGGATTTTTCTCTAATTAAGGACTGTAAATGAGAATTTCTGGGTAAAACATGGCATCCAACTAACAGTGTCTGGACTGCTTATCTCCTCATTTTTCCTTAAAAATGGCCAAATGAAAATACAGAAACACAAAAGCGAACAGCACGCTGAAACTAATAAAAAGGATTTTCATTATTTGGAGATTTGGTAGGCTAGGATTAATAAGCACAAGCCTGGAACACAGACACTTGGCCTCATTAGCTGGAACCAGTGTGTGAACCACCAAAATTAAAGAGGAGAGTGGGACTAATCATTGTTTGTCCTCGTCATTGAGCTGCAGGGCCTCACAGTGAAGGAAACTAAGCATCCACTGCCCTCAGCAGCAGCAGTCTCCTGAGCAAGCCATAGTCCTGCCCTGCTCCTCCTGCCCTGCCTCACCTGTGCCTCTCGCTATATAAATCCCAACAGAAGCAGGACTACCCAGTAAATGGGTATGGCAATAATTTGTTGAATTCTGAATACCAGAATTTGAATAAAAGGAGTCTTGTGTGTGGGAGCAGCTATTGGCAGCACCTGAGACCTATGTACAGAGAAGAGTATAGGTTTCATGTTATATACTATGATAAAATAAGTCATGTCTAAAGCATAGACCAGGAACTAGTAATCAAGAAGTTTCCATCTGCACAGAACGATGTTCCATGAATTCTTATAAGACACCAGACATTGGTTCAGGGCCTGAATACAACAAGCTCTACTTTTAAGTCAAGAACAACATACTTCTAAGGTTGAAAATCAGTATTTTCTGTGAATCAGTAACTTTATCTCCTAGGTACATACCAGATAGAAATGCATGCACATTGTGTACTGCAAAATATACAGATGAGGCCCTGGCCGGTTTGGCTCAGTGGTTGGATCATTGGCCTGTGGACCAGAGAGTCCCGGTTCAGTTTCCGCTGGGCCCTAGCGGCTACGGGCATGTACCAAAAAAAAAAAAAGTACACACACACACACACACACACACACACACACACACAGAGATGACTGTTTATTATAGCTTTATTTGTCACAGCCAATAAAACTTCATCAGTCGATGAGTTGGTGAATGAACTATGAACATTCCACAAATATATTTTTTATGGGAAAATGTTAGCAATATTTAGTATTTCCATACACAGAAATTAGATTTAGGACAAAGGAGGATTGCAGCAATGGGGAAGAGATCTTTTGCTACAGGTGCTGGAACAATTGTCTAAGCACATGGAAATAATAAATAAAATGAGACCCCAACCATACATCTTAGCAACAAAATCAATCCCAGTAGACTTGAAATCTAAATGCTAAGACAAATAATAATATTCTAGAAGAAAATGGAGGAGAAAACATTTTATGACCTAGAAAGAGGGAAACATTTTAAAATAAGAACAAAAACACACACTATGGGAGAAAACAGTAAATCTGACTGCATTAAAATTAAGAATTTCTGTATATTTCAAAACATCATATACTTGTGTAAAGGTCAGCCACAGACAGACATTTGAAATGTGAATACATGTGAATGTCAAAGGACTTATCTAGAATGCCTATAGACAAACAAATCCTTAGAAAAGGCACCAGTAATCATGGAAACACAATTAATTCCAGGAAATTATGACTAAGCACTGGTCCACAAAATGTCTAAAAATAATAGATTTTTAAAACAAGACTGAAAAGCCCTGGCCAGTTTGGCTCAGCGGTTAGAGCAGTGGCCTGCAGTCCAGAGAGACCCAGGTTCGGTTCCGGCTAAGGGCATGTACCTCGGTTGCAGTTTGTCCCCGGCCCTGGCTGGGGTGCGGGTAGCGACCACTTGATGTGTCCCTTTCACATCGATGTCTCTCTCTCTTTCTCTCTCTCTCTCTCCCTCTCCCTCTTCCTCTCCTTCCCTCCCACTCTGTCTGAACAAAAAAATGAAAAAATGTCCTCGGATGAGGATTTAAAAAATTAATTAATTAATTAAAAAGACTGAAGAAGTTATGGAGCAGGGGAAACTTAAATGCTACTGGTAAAGATTGGAATTGGTTTAGAATGTTGCACATGATCTGCTCAAGTTGAAAGTAAACATTTCCTGTGCATCAGCATGTCTTCTAGGTTACAGGCTTGATAGAATTAGATGCAGCCGAGTATTGTAGGACACACACAAGAATGTTTCTTATAGCTTTATTTGTAATGCCTAGAAACAGCCTAAGTATCCACAATTAGTAGAAAACATAAATAAGTTTGTTGTGCTCATATGTTACAACAGGGAATAAAAGGAACTATAAGTATATGAACATTAGGAATGGATTCCACACTCACAATAGGGCACGAAAGCAGCCAAACGCTTACTATTCACTGTATATCTGCATTTTCATAAAGTTTGATGAGAGATAGAACTAAATACAGTGTTTAAGGTTCTATGCTATGGTGATAAAACTAAGAAAAGTAAAGTAGTGCCATACATGATAGAACTGGATCACCTTGGGGCAAGGGGATGTGGAGGGCATCATGGCTGAGCGGACATAAGGGAGGGCTTCTATAGCTGGGAATAATCCCTTTCTTGACTTATGTAGAAATTATTAGATAGTTCTCCAAATGTCAGAATTTTATTTTTAATCTCAGGAATTCCTTTATGGGAAAAATGGAATAGAGAGTTGGTGCAGGTGTTCAAGTAGTTTGATGAAAAATAAGGAACAAGAATGCCAACATATATAATAGCTCAGAACATGGACCGGGAGTTAACACTGGATTTAAGTCCTGGCCTCAGTGATCTTGGGCAATACACCAGTAAAGCCCTCACTCTTAGAAGACTATCAGGAAGATCTCGTGAGCAATAAGGCTGATTTTATTGAAGTAACAGCAAATAAGGATACCATCTGGATAATCTTAGTAGCTTTCTAAAAGATGAGGTTAGGGAAGAGTTTTCAAATAGATCGAGGACCTGGGCTGAGAGATTTTAAGGTAAGACTCACATGGCAGAAATTTGGTAGAAAACTGGGCAGAGTCTGTGAAAATAGCTGAAGTGGGCGGGCACAGCATGGTGAGGGCCTTAATGCACTGTTGATAAGTCGGCTGTTTTAGTTGGATCACAGTCTTATGTTCTGGGAGCAAGAGTTTCTTGGAGCAAGCAGCTCGGGAATTATTGTTCGGTTTAGTGTTGTAGGAAAAAGATGTCTGGTCTAAATGCTGTTTAATAAAGGAAATGATGTTGGTTTCAGTTGTCAGTACTTATGTTTTTAAGCCATACTATCTTTATCTTTGAAATACAAGCTGTGGGTATTAAATAAGATAATACAGGCTGTACTGAATAAAACGTGGATTTTGAAGTCAGTATCAGAGAACTCACGTTCTGGTATTAGACTGCCTAATTTCAAATCCTGTTCCATTACTTTCTGGCTTGTCTCCTACAGTGGATTGCGAATTTTAAAAATTGTCTTTCCCTATCTTATAATTGAAATGTGAAAACAAAATTTTTTTGTGTTTTTCTTTGCTTTGTCTTTATATTGGATTGCCTATTCAAACAGAAGTGACTGAAACCAAAACAGGTGTGCTTGTCTAACCCACACTCTTCACTGTCATTGTTTTATTTGCAGAATGACATGAATTACATAGCATCCAGTGGACTTCTATTCAAAGATGGCAAAAAGCGGATTGATTACATCCTGGTTTATAGAAAGTCAAATATACAATATGACAGAAGAAACACATTTGAAAAGAACCTCAGGGCAGAAGGCTTGATGTTGGAAAAGGAGGTAGGTGTATTAATAACATTAATTATGTGACATAATATGCTGGGAGAGAGATGATCTGTTATATTTTAGTATGGAAGGTATGTAGCACATGGCTTTATAAAATGTATAGTTATTTTCTCCCAAATGTAAAACAAATACATACCATGTATAGTCCCACTTAAATATGTATCATTTTTTGCTCCAAACATTTCTATAAATTTAAATATTTTTCAAAGTACATAACTACTTTTATAATTTTAAAACTTGAAGAAGGAATAATTATATCTATGCAAAGTACAAAATCCTATGAAAAGAAAACAAAATGTTGAAAGAAGAGAGTTTGCCAAACTGTTAATGTCTGGATTTTAATATTGGAACTATGGGTTATTTTCTTCCCAAGCCTTTTTCTTTCATGCCTTTTTTAATAACTACTTTTTAAAGTAGTTTTAGGATCACAGTACAATTGAGATGAAGGTCCAGAGATTTCCTATATGCCCCCTGCCCCTATATATGCATACCTTCCCCCACTATCAACATCTCCTACCAAAGAGGTATATTTGTTACCACTGATAAACCTGTGACACATTATTATCACTCAGAGTCCATAGTTGACATTAATGTTCCCTTTTAGTGGTGTACATTTTGAGTTTGGACAAATGTACAAAATGCATCTACATAATGGCATCATACAGAGAATTTTACTGCTCTAACCTATGCATTTCTCCTATACTCCCAACCTTTGATTTTTTTTACTCTGTGTGAAGTTTTGCCTTTTCCAGATTGTCATATAATGGAATCACAGTGTGTAGCCTTTTCTAATTGGTATTTTCACAGAGTAGCATTAAGTTTTCTCCATGTCTTTTCCTGGCTTTATAGTTCCTTCCTTTTTTTTTTTCATCCTCACTCGAGGACATTTTTTGCATTTATCTTCAGATAGAGTGGGGTGAAGAGAGAGAGAGAAACATCGAGTGGCTGCCACCCACATGACCTCAACTGGGGCTAGGGACAAATTGCAACTGAGGTACGTGCCCTTAGCAGGAACCGTACCTGGGACTCTCTGGTCCACGGGCTAACACTCTAAACACTGAGCCAAACCAGCCAGGGCCCTTCTTTTTTAGTATAGAATACTATTCCATTGTCTGATGTACCAGTTGATTTATCCATTCATGTGCTGAAGGACACCTTGGTTGCTTACATGTTTTGGCAATTATGTATACATTTTTTGTGTGTAGATAAAAGTTTTCCACTTCTTTGGGTAAATACCAAGGATTGCATTGCAGGATCATATGATAAGAGTATGTTCAGTTCTGTAAAAAACCTCCAAGCTGTCTCCCAAGATGGCTGTACCATTTTGCATTTATGAACTAAGTCTTATGATAGGTTTTTCTTCATTTGTTTTCATTTTGATTTCTCCTCCATACAAAAAGTACCAATTACTTCTTCATTTGTTTCAAGAACAGTTTATAAATACATTCTGTTAAAATACTGTTAGTTATTTTGCTCACACATATCTGGTTATTTATTATTTTTGCAAAGAATTTTGACTGGTATTGTGCAAGCTGTTGGGGATCCAAGGGTAAAGCAGACCACATCCCCGCCTTTACTGAACTACAATCTGTGTAAGAGTCAGTCATGAAAACTGATTGCTTGTGAAAAAGGTATGACTTGGCTCACAGTCTTTACCTGGTTTTCTGGGCAAAATGTCCAGATTCTCTTTTTCTCTTTTAAGTCTTCCTCTCCCTTGTTCCTCCAGATTCCCCCCCCCCCAAATAATACTGAATGTTATTTATGTACCGGGGGTACTCTACTGCTTTTGAAAAGAAGCCCATTCCTTCCTGAGAGCTCTCACTCTTAAGTTTCTGCCAAAGATATATGTTTGTTTTGTTTGTGGGTTTTGGTCTAGATTGACTCTCAGCAAGACAGTACACACACACACACACACACACACACACACACACACACACACACACAGTATTCCTGTTCCTGGACAGGGAGGTCTTTCATTCTGGGTTCAACAAATACAGCTCTATTAGCTCACATTCTTGTGATTTATAGTAAAAGGCAGATACTTGGTGATGGTTTGGATATGGTAGGAAAGAAAAGAAGATCTCAAGGATGATTTGGATTTGTGGCTTGAGTGATGATTTCTTGATTCATTCAACAACCATCAATGATGCACCCATGTATACTACATTCTGGAGATAAATAGGGACCAAGATAAAAAATGTGCATGTTCTCATGGGATAAGAAAAACTATGAACAGACAAGAAAAAATGGCATAGTGAGGGATAGCACCCAATAATTCAAACAGAATGTTACTGTAGGGAGTGTGATGAGGTAGCTATGTTAGTGTGTGATCCGAAAGAGTGACCTGGGAAGGAGCCCATCATGGGAAGACAAGGGGGCAGAATGCTGTTTGCAGAAGAAATAGCCAGTCTAAAATTACTGTTGACTAGAAGAGAGCCAATTTGGGGAGAAAGTGGGACGGGATTATGGCAATGAAAATCATGAACTAGTAATTAAGGTGCCTTTGAGAAATACAAGTAGAAGTGTTTGAAATGTCTGTCTGGAGCCCAAATGAGGAATCTGAACTGAAAGTAAATATAGATAGTAATAGAAGGCATGTGTCATGACAAAATCACTAGAGAGGATGTGAAAAAATGAGCCTCAGGGAGCCTGTGGAAGGTAGGAGAAAAGTCATGTGAAGGAGTAGGAGGTGGGTAGAAAAGGCAAAGATGAGGAGTCACAGGGAAGCACTGAGAATCACTTCTCCGAGGTGAACTTGCAGGCTAGATTGGCATGAGTTGAAGAGTGAAGAGATAATGGAAAAATAGAGGCAGCAGCAAATGCCATCAACTTGCTTATCTGTGAATGGCTGAATGAAGAGCAATAGCCAATGAGGGAAAAGAAGTCTTAGTTTTGTTTCCCTCCCTCCCTCCCTCCCTCCCTTCTTTCCTCCTTTCTTAGATAATATATTAAAATGATGATGGGTAAGATCCTGGAGAGAAGGATGGACAGAGGGAGGCAGGGAGGGGAGGGGAGGGAGGGAAGGGAAAGGAGAGAAAAATTGAGGAAACAGAAGACAGATGAGATCAAAAGAAAATTTAAAGGCCTTTGGGTAAGGGTAAAAGGGAGGATCGGTTATAGTTAGAATATCAAGTATAATACAAAGAAAAGATTCCTGAATTATATTTCAAAGTTAATTTTTTACATTCATTTTTTTTTTTTTACTTGTCAAAGACATTTTTACAAAAGGGTTATCTGTACTTATGTTTCTAATTCTAAAAGTAATGACGTTGATTTTAAAAGGTTGAGTTAATTAGGACTAGATTAATTATCCTAATATTAGTGTGTAAAATCAACCTGTTATGACAAATACAGTTCGAGGGAACAAAAACACGTTTCTATAAAAAACATTTAAGCATTATATCATAAAAATGATTGCCTTAAGTTTTCAAATTAAGATTCTTTTAAAACACTGTTTTTGTATTGCGTTTCTATTGCTGCTTAACAAATTACCACACCATTTAGCAACTTAAAACAAAAGCCATGTGTGAACACACAGTTCTGTAGGTCAGAGGTTTGACCATGGCCTGGCTGGGCCCTCTGCTCAGTCTCTCACAAGACTTAGAGCATTGTTTTGGCCAGGCTGTATTCACACCTGGAGCCCCAGATACTCTCAAGCTTCTGTGGTTGTGGCAGGATCCTTGTCGTTGTAGGACTGAGGTTCCCACTTCCTCGCTGGCTGTCAGTCAGGGACAATCCTCAGCCCCTAGAGGCCATTCTCTTTCCTTTCCACATGGCCTCCCACCACCTCTTTCAACACCCATGATGGAGAATCTTCCTTGTGACCCTCTGCTATTTTAAATCTCTCTTGCCAGGAAGAGCCCAGTTCCTTTTAGGGGCTCATCTGCCATGGAGGATAATCTTTTTTTTTTCTTAACAACAGAGGTGACATATCACAGACCTAATTATGGGAGTGAATATTCCATCCTATGTACATATCCCCAAGGTTGTACTGGACAAGGACAGCAGCAGAGGATGGGGGTCTCAGAGAAGGAATTCTGCCAGCCACACTATTAAAAAAATACCAGCATGCAAAGTGTACAGCCCTTCCCAGCAAACAGCCTTAGAAAGAAACTTACCTCTATGATGACAAGACAGAATCTAAGTATATTTTTTAGTTTAAATCTATGGTCACTGATGACTAACTGGTATGTAAATACAAATAGCTCTCTGAACTATCAAATTCAACATTTTGCATCATCATAAACATTTATTTTTCTGTCAACATTTCTACTATTACAAATGGTGGCCTTTGGTGGCAACTTAATTTTAATCAATATTAATTGAAAATACTTAGGGCTCGTGACAGGCAGAAAGTGGACAATGAAATTGTGAAAATGTCAACAAGATCGGATTTTTAGCTGAAAAATGACAGTATTTCTCAGTGAACTGTCGTTATTTTTTAAATTTACATTTACCTGAGCCGGGCACAGAGATCTCCAGTCCTCACTGAATTGCATGTCAGTGTGCACAGTTGTTAGGTGGTCCCCATTATCGACGGAGAAGGATGAGTATTTGAAGGCCCTGTGAGTGATTAGGTAGGTGACCTGTCACAGTCAGGGCAGGTGCTTTGTTGTCCAACTACATTTCCAGGTTATAGCAGCAATTTGTCTTTATCTGAGACTTAATACCATGAGCTACCACATTCTATTTTCTTTTAGTTCTCTGCCACTAACTTGCAGAGTGACTTTGTAAAACCAATTTTTTAAATTTCCTCCTCTCGCAAGAGTGAATGTTCTACCTCTTGGGAATTTTGGATGGAATAATTAAATAATAACATGAAGTGTGAAGGCAGAGGGTGTTTTGTTCCCTCAGAAAAGTCTGCCTTCACCATAGCTTCACAGAATACTGCCAGGTTGGGAGCTTTTAATCGCAAGGGAGAAATAAATCTTTCCCCTGCCAACACTATCTCTTCACCAACCCCTGCTCAGTAGGTACAAGAAAATGAAACTGCTTTTTTTTAAGTAAAGGTATAAAAAAGAGAAATTTTGTTGAAGGGATTATAAAGGAAGAGAGTTCATGCTGCTTAAAAAGATCTATGTATATTTAAAGTTAAGACACAAAATTAGAAATGTTCTAGCTCTGTCTGCACTTAGTTTGATGTTTTATTCATTGATGACAGAGGTAAGACAGAAGCATCCTTCTAGAGCATCCCTTTTATATAAGTGCATTAGAATATTTCATGTGTAGAGGTTGATAGGAATGACTTACTAATCAGTGCTAAGCCATCTATAATGCTAATTTGATTCCACACAGCAACTCTTCCAGAATAATTCTGGCTTAATTGCTTTCTTATCTCCACTATCTTTTGCTTAAGTACAAGTTACATAGGATGTACTCAAAATAAGTTACATCCATTCATTCGTTAAACATTTGTCAATTTTTATTTTCATCATTCTTTGCCTTTTATTGAAAACAAATATATTCCTAGTAGGGAAGGTCTTTGGAAATTGCCAGCTAGTCTCACCGTGGCTGCTGCTTTATACTCTTAGTTGCTGGACTTCTCTGTTCAGCCAGATTTCAGGAGGTTCTGAGTGATGGTTGTTCTGTTAATCTAGTTGTAATTTTGATGTGATGGGTAATTTTGATGAGTGAGAATGAGAGGAACTTTATCAAGTATCCAACAAGAATAACTTTCAGTTCCTAATTGGCCCCTAATTTTTCTCATTGGGGATTCTGGATCTTGATAACGATCAATATAAGAAAATGCACTAACTCATATCAGTGATTATTTCTTGTATATGATATCATTATTAAATTTTTATGTAAGATTTTATATATTAAGACCTTTTATTCATATAAATTACTTTTAAATTAGTGACAAAGATACATGTATAGACCAGAGGACAGTGTTCTTTTCCTCCAAACAAACTGTCCCCTGATGGCATCGGCTCCGGCTCTCAGTGATGGTGCCTGTCCTGCTCTCCTTTGCAGCCGGCTATTGCAAACGCTGACATCATGTTTATTAAAATTCACATTCCGTGGGACACGCTGTGCAAGTATGCAGAGAGGCTGAATATCAGGATGCCCTTCAGGTACTTTCAAATTTTGTTTCATTCTCTCCGAATGTATATCAAGATGGGTCTGGTTTCTTTTTGTTGTTTTTTTTTTGCAAAACCTTAGGGCAGTAAATGTCATCTTATCAACAAGGAAATGCTTTTTCTTCCAAAGGTTAGGTAACCTTTGACACTTTTTAAATTTCCTGCTCATCATTTTGCCTAGTGTGGCAAACTTTATATCATTTCTAGATGGACCTGCCCAGAGGGAGAAAGAAAAAACAGTTATTTTCACATTTTAACTGATAACGTAATTCCCAAGATCAATCTCATTTCTTATTTTATATAGGTAGATAGAACTCTTATTGTTTTCATAGAAGGCCGGAAGTATAAGTATGTACCATCCTCGTGTATACAAATAGTGTTCTTTTATGGATAATGGTGAGCAAGAGTCACTCCTTAGGTGTAGTTCAACCAGATGGTTTCTCTGTTCTGTCTCAGCATCAAAGGAAAATGGGAATAAGATTCCAGCTTAGTTCAAACATTTTTTAATCCCCCCTATATGCAAGCAAACACTGAATAGACATGTTTTTCTATATTGTGTATCTTTTTTTTTTTATCCTCACCTGAGGATATTTTTCCATTTTTTGTACAGATAGAGTGGGAGGGAGAGAAAGGAAGGGAGAGAGAGAGAGAAACATCGACGTGAAGGGACACATCGAGTGGCTGCCACCCGCACGACCAGCCAGGGCCGGGGACAAACTGCAACCGAAGTACGTGCCCTTAGCGGGAACCGAACCCGGGTCTCTCCGGACCGCAGGCCGACGCTCTAACCGCTGAGCCAAACTGGCCAGGGCTATATTGTATATCTTGTATTGTATGCAGAATGTTTCACTTCCCTCCATCATTTCTCAAAATAAAATTCAGCAGCGTTCCTACTATGTGCAAAGTGTTAACTTGCATTGAAGATATGAACATTTACACTTATTTGGAGCTCAGTGTGCTTTATCAGCTGCTAAGAGTGTTTTAAAAAGTTCATAGTAGCAAGATAGCAATAAAAGGGCCTCTAGATAATGAATATGAATGAGCAGTAAGAGCATAATTTATAAATATGGAGACATTTCTCATACTCGGTAGCATGAGAAAAGCCAACTCTGGTAAGAGTGCTGACATCCTTAAGTCTTATGATTTTATTTATTTTTTAAATGATATTGATTTTGTATTTTCTGGTAAAGGGTACATTTGAAAGAAGAGTTTTGATACATCTGAAGAAAGAAATATAAAACCATGAAGCCTGTGTAGTTTCCCATTTCTTCTTATTGATGTTTTGGTTGAAATCTCGTCTTTATAATATGTTTTTCAAAATAATGTTTATAATCGCTGCATTATGAAACTTTTGGAAAGTGTCACTGACATTCTCATGATTTAATAATAGCATATTAGAAAATATGTAACTTTTCCTAAAGTGTAAGAATGCTGGTTCCAAAGGCTCTTAGTAGGAAAATATCTTGTGACCAAATATGCTTCTGAATTTCTGAGTTACACAGTATTTCTTCACTTTAGGATTTTTGGAGAAGTGGTTCTCATTCTCAGCCTTCAGTGGACATCAAAATCACCTGGGAAACTTTGTAAAATAAAGGTTCATGGAACCTACACCTAGAATTCTGGCATATTAAGTCTAGGATAGGATTGGGTATATACATTTATAACAAACATCTCAAATGATTCTGATGCATCTGGGGAAGAAATACTGTCTTGGAGATTGTAATATTTTAACAGTTATATACTTTTTTATAAATGCCAAGAAGTATTTGTATAGAGCAACCTTTCCCAAATTTCCATCTGATAATGGATTCAAAAAATGTTTAATATAATGGTGTTCTTGGGAAAATAGTTTGAGAAATGCTGGAACACAGAGTTCTTTTGGAATATCTTACCAGATCAATTTAAATAATAGATACAGTATCAACTAATTCCTTCGTAACTAACCATTTATTTATGATACTCCTAAAATGTGGGATAGTTCTCAGCTCATAAAAAGAGAATGCTATTCAAGCATAAACTGCATGGCAGAGTATTTTCATGATAGCCAATTCAGTTTCCAACTGTCAACTGTTCTCACGTTTAAGAACATATATGCTGTCTTAAAATTAAAATATACAAGAATAACAAAGAACTTAAATAGGAAAAATGCATATCTCTTTTTAAAGACATATGCATAAAAAATTTTACCATGTTTGGCTAATCTACGTATTTATTCACTGTTGAAATATACATGTGACTTTCCACAAAGAAAAGGTGCAAATTTATTCAGAAAAAAAATAGAGTTATAACACTGCCTGCAAATGTTTTCTGCTCAATTATTGTATAAACATGAATCTTGAGAAATTTATCTGAATTTTCACCTTTAATATATGTTTAGAATTGTATTTACCTATATTTTCTAGCTATTTGTTTGCTTGATTATTCTTGCAAAGTAAATATGGTCTACATATTGGACTTGATGTTTCACAACTAACCTAGAAACTTTCAGAGAATTAAATTAGTCTACATTTTCTAGTTTTTAGTCTATCAGGAAGGACTTAACATGTCTTCTCTACTCTTTCATTATTTTTATTTTTATTCAAATGTGTTTCCTATTCATTCTTACTCATCTTTCACATTAAAAGAATCAAATTTATTTTAGAATGATTCAGTCATCTTGTGCCTTCTCAGGTTGAGTTCCAAGGTGGGGTCAACCTTCCATTTTTCCTCAAGCATTTCCTTCCACAAATATTTTAAATATAGCGAATTTCAGGAAATATTTTCAAATTATTAAGAACGATCTCTTTTTCTAGATAAAAGAACAATCTTTCTTTTAAAAATCACAGCTAGGATTAAACTTAGATCACTTTTTTTACGCAAAGGATACCTTACTAAAAAATAAAATAACAAAACATATACAGAGCCAAATATATAGCATAGATAAAAGTGCAGTAGTTCTGCTTGACAGCAGCAGGGGGCCCTGCGTCCCACCCACGGGACTGCCCTCCTCTCTTGGCCCCAGGGTCATCTCCACAGGTGGCCACTTAGCTCTGGGAAGCACTGGTTGGAAACAGTATTGAGATAATTATTATGATTTTGAGCGGTGGATGTAAAAGGTGGGAAGATAGGTAAGTAAAGGCTGCCCTGATGCAAGGTGTAAAATAGCAGACTCTTTTCAAAGGAAAAATAAAAAGGGCTCTGTCCCAGAATAATACACAGTTGATAAATTACAGAATGGTGGATTATGGGTAGGAAATAATTTGGCTCTGCTGTTTCATTTTTGTAGAAAACTACGAAATTCAGGTAATTTTTGACTTTAATTACATTTGTATTTTGTTGGGGATATATAATTAAAACAAAATCTTCCCCAATCTAGAAAACTGCTCCACAAATGTAGAAGAGAAAGAAAACATATTTATTATTAAATGAGCATAAAATCAGAAGGTGATATCCAGCATAAACAATGTGCTAAGTAATTGCAAAGACATACAGAAATCTCACCCTTTATGTGGCCAAACAGGGACAACCCATTACTGACATGCTCTCAAGGTGAGCGATAACCAGTCCTGATGTAAAAGGACTTGGCAGCTCTAATTGCCACACATAGTTCATCCCAGATTTGTTTGGTAAGTATGGTGTTAGTTAATTGGGAAGACTGTCTCATATTTTAATTTTTATTTGCTCTTACAATATATATAGTCTAAAAAGTATATATATTTATGTTGTATGACTTTCTTCCTTTATTTGTCCCAAAGCATTTCAAAATTTTAAAAACATTGTTTAAAATAACGATTTCAAAGTAGCAGCAATACGGATAGAGAACAGTGTTTAATCCAAATGCCCTGTGCTTTTATATTTCTTATCATATCCATGACCAATAATTATAACTGTAATCTTTATCTTTTCTTCATCACATTTGAGACTTTTTTCTCTCTTTTTTTCCTTTATTGATTTTAGAGAGAGAGGAAGTAAGAGGGAGAGAGAGAGATGGAAACATTGATGAGAAAGAACATTGATTGGCCGCCTCCTGCATGCCCCCCACTGGGGATCAAACCCACAACCTGGGCATGTGCCCTGACCGGGAATGGAACCGGTGACCTCTTGGTGCATGGATTGACGCTCAACCACTGAGCCAAACCGGCCGGACCATTTCTAGACTTTTTGATCCTAAAATTATTTTAAACTGATTTCTACATCTATAGTTTTTCATGATATGGTATTAGCAAATGTTTATTAAATGTAAAATGTTCTCTGACACTGAATGAGTAAACACGTTTACTAAATGTGAAGTTTTCTCAGACATTGTAGCTATGAATTAAAGAAGGCCAGCTCATTTATTCAGCTTTCTAGGTACCACAATGATTCTCTCTAATGCATTTTGATGCATGGTGATACAGAGGCATTTTAGAAGGCCCAGAATGACATTCCCAAGCTCCAAGATAAGGATGTAGTGGAAATCTATTGAGAGATTAATTAACCTCTGTCCCTAGAATTTTTAGTTTCTCTAAAATCTGATACCTACTTAAAGCACACAATGTCTTCCCATTGCTTTTCATCCACAACCTTAGCATTAGTGGTCAGACTCCTCGTCATCTGTGCCTTATTCATCAGGCCCCCACCTTTTTATTACTATCCTTAATTTGCAACTTATACTTTAGTGATTACCAAATTAGTTGCAGTTCCTGAATCTTAACAATGGTTGATCTTGTTCCCATAACCTTTTCATAGGTGGTCTAGAATGCCATGTCCCAAGTATGCATTCAGAAGACTATTCCCACTCTTGCTTCAAGAGTCAACACAGATAACTCTTTCTCTGGGAAGGCTTCTGTCTCCTTTCTCCTCCATCAACGGAAACTGATTGAGATCCCTTTCTGGGTCCTTCGACAGCACTGTCTGTTTTCCTGCATTGTCACATTTCACTGTACCTATCACTTGGCTCCTCCATGTAAAGGAAGCTCTTTGAGGGTCAATAACGTATTATCTGAATCTTTAAATGTTATGCCTTAACATTCCTTGCAAAATCAGAAATATTTATTACTTATGTGTTTAGATGGATGGGTGAATGCATGGATGCATGGATGCATGGAAGGGTGGATGGATGGATGGATGGATGGATGGATGGATGGATGGATGGATGGGTGGATGGGTGGCTGACTTCACATAAGAAATAAATGACCCAGTTAATAGGCACGGTGTAGCAGAAGTGAGACCTTCACAAAATAGAATTAAAATATCAAAATTCAAAAATGATTTATTGATTTATGAAAGGTTTTTGTTATTAGTAACTTAGATTATGAAATTAAAACAATGTAAATTCAGAATTCTTCCTATTATACTGGCTGATTTCATGTCTTTTTGAGGCGTGGGGAAGTTGGAGTATTGAAATGCTCAATGTGATTGAACGTTGTCGCTCACTGGTTTCACTATTTTCATGTGACTTTCCCCCGCTGATTTCTATTATTTTTCAGGAAAAGATCCTATTACACTGACCAGAGGAGCAAATCAACGGGCAGGTTGGTGGGTGATGTGTAATTGTTTTATGACTAATTTGTCATTTGGAGAAAAAAAATTAGAAAGACATTTCATTACCCTTATCAGCAGTTGTAAATTTTAGGAGAAAAATGGTTTATTGATTTATTCAAGAGATTTTAAAAGTGACTTGTGCTAATTTACCAGTTTTAAAACAGATAAATCTCCTTTTTTTATGTACCATCAACATTCCTACAATCCTCACTTGATATAATGGCAAGTTAGCATTTTAGGAGATTTTAATTTTAAAAAGAGTTATAAAAGCAGATTGATAGGTAAATGTTGACCCAGTAGAGTAATAGAACCACAGGTCCAACAGAGACCTTCTGGACCATTCGATCCAAATCTCTTATTTGATAGGGGTGGTAAAGGAAAGACTGGTATTCACAGTGATGAATTGCCAGCACCTTTTGAATCAAAGACTTACTCTTATTCCACCACCTGAAGCTGACTTTCTTATTCTAGTATTCAAAACAAACATTTTTTCAAGAGTGTTCATCTCAAATTAGCATCTCTTACCTATTTGGGTAACAGTGGCTATGACAAGGGAATTAAACCACAAGCCTGAGACAGAAGAAACCATCCCACCTGAATAGCCTAGCCTGACCCTGTTTCACTGGAGGAAGTGATTTTGCCTTTACTGAATAGTAAAAAAAAAAAGAAAGAAAGAAAGAAAAAGAAAAAAAGAGGGCTTCTTACACTTGACTGTTTTCTGCTCTGAACGAATCAATGAACGAAAACAAAGTGTGAATGTGGTAGAGTGTACTCCACAAAATAACACTGCAGGATATTACAAGTCAAAGACACACAAACTAGAACATGTAGTGCAAAATCAGACCATTTTAGGAAAGGATTCAGTAAATGTAGTTATTTTACAAAGAAAAGGCTGAATATAACTTAGAACTTTACAAGAGAAAAAAAATCAGTGTTAAAATAGGAAAACATTGGTGTCTTTAAAACGTTAATTTTATGTGCACTTGGGATTGGCGACAAGTTCAGTAAATATTGGGGAGGGGACTTAATATTAGAACAAGTGTTAGAAGATTTAGTACTCAGAGTGCTCTTTTAAAAAACTATTAATAATGGTGCTCCTCAGCCAAGTCAGATTTTCTTGTTTGTGCAGTTAGCATGCTCATATTTAGAAAGAGTTTTCAGCATTTCCCTTGGGCCCATTTGGTCCTGGTCTATGTAGCAAAAGTCACTGGAATATTATCATTCATAAATTTACAACTGCAGGTTTTTCTCTCTCTCTCTCTTCCTTTTTCTGCGTGTGCCTGTTAATGTTGGATGTGTTGCTAAATTTCTGGGTTTGTTTTTGTGTGCTCTATAGAATTAGTGAGAATTTTTTCTGCTGTAGAATTAGTGGGTTTCTGATAAATAAGCATCTTTCTTTCAGAGACTTGCAGAAAGATAAAATGCTGTATATTAAAATAGCAACAAATGTCTGTTTATGTAGTACTGTCATAATTTAGTTTTAGAATAAATGTGTTTAATATGCCTAATGAATGTGTATATTAAATCCTAAAGAAACATTTTTAAAATTTTATTATATTTTTGTAACATTTTTATTGGATATTTAGATAGAGGAAGGGGGAGAAAGAGAGAGGGAGAGAAAGAGCAATGTATAAAAGAGAAACATTGGCTGGTTGCCTCCCACACGCGCCCGACCTTATTTCGAACCCACAACCCGGGTATATGCCCTGACCTGAATCGAACCACCTCCTCTTGGTGTATGGGATGACGCTCCGATCAACTGAGCCACACTGACCAAGGCACAACCTTTTTAACAATGGGAAAAAATGTTCTTTTTTTTCTATTTTGGTCAAATTTAAAAGTAAACTAGAAAGATGAACACTGTACTGTGGGTCTTGTGTTTTACTATCTTTTGTATTTATTATTTTCTTTTTAGTTTCATAAAATGAAAATTCGGTTATCAGTTATTTCAAATGATTATAAACGTTTGTTAAATGTTACTATAGCCAAACCTCTTTGCAGTTTACTTTTTACAAATAATCTCTTTGTTGCTTTACTTTGTGGATGCACAGGGGGAGGGGAGGGAAAAAATAGGAAAGGGGGTTATGAAGAAACTGAAAAAAACCATGACATGTTATTTACCTGAATTTAGACTTTAAGAAAATGAATAATCTTGATTTTTTTAAAAAAATTACCTTTGGAGAAGAAAATTAAGTGGAGTGTGTGTGTATGTGTGTGTGTGTGTGTGTGTGTGTGTGATCATCATTGTTATAAAATTACAAAACCCAATTGGTGGGCAGTTGGAAAGAGGGGAAACAAAATCCATTATGTGCCCTTAGGTATTACTTGTGCTTGTTCTTTCTAACGTGGGAAAGGAATTTTGTGCACGGATATTTTAGCCGATAAACATGAGTGGGTAATTATGTGCGGACAACTGTCCAGCTTTTGCAGTTCATCATTTCTCCAGGCAGGTTAATAGACAGTGGCGATAATTTTATTATTGCTGCTCTGTGCCATTTATTTATAATGCACTTTAGCATTCAGTTATCAAAGCATCTTCTACACGATGCTCAGAGTGGCAGAACACATAGTGACTGGTTTTGGAGACCAAGAAAAATCAGTGACTCTCATCACTACTCCCAAACAGCCATGCCTCATCCCCCAGCCTTTGAAACTGGTGTGGTACAGTTGGGGCTCTGACCAAGTTCTTCTGACCTTTTAATTCAGATTTCTTTTCATTTCCACCTGCACGCAGGAGGAGTGCATGTGTGCGGGTTGAGAGCGTGGGTGTGCTATGTCTTTTTGGAACTCTGTTTTGCAATGGCAGCGGAAGGTAGGCATTACTCTGGAACGCAGCCTGATCTAATTCTATAACGTGACTTTGTTCCAGTATGCACAATTATTTCAGAAGACTTAAAAAATGGATGTCTCAAAACCCAATGGTTCTTGACAAGTCAGCGTTTCCAGACCTGGAGGAGTCAGACTGCTACACTGGCCCCTTCAGCCGAGCACGGATTCACCAGTGAGTTCCCTCTCTCCCACTACCTGCCTTGGTACCTTCCATTTTATGAGAGTTGTTGACAGAATAAAAAGAGCTGGGCCCACTTCCATTGTTTGCCAAATAAGTCAGAGGATGCATCATTTTATTCAAATGTGCACTTAGCTTAGAACAACACTCTGTGAACATTATTAATTAATGATCAACTATGATTTAGAGATGTTCTAGTAATAATAATTAATTGTAAACTCATGGATTGAGAGTCTAACTCCCAATTCTTTCCAAATAATTATTGTGGTAGTAAGTCACTCCATTAAACTAACAAAAAATGATGATGATAATAATAATAATAGAATTGCTGTTAAATAATATGTTTAAATAATGGATTTTTCTAATTAATAAATTATATTTATAATTCCATTTAACTAATTGTATTTATTAGTTTGACCCATTATAGTTTAATCTTAAATTAAGGTGAATAAGAAAATTTTTCAGAGATTTGTTACATGCCTATCTATCTACCAACATATCTCTAATCATATATTTATTCAATTATGTACAGTAGGTCTATAGCTGCAAGATCAGTTTGCTATACACAATTTTGGATTGACTTATATTCTGGGATGTAGGAAGACAAGGGCAAGATGAAACAGAATTCCTGCCCACCAGTCAGTCATGTGACAGAGCCAATAATCAGTGGGAAACCCTCGCCTTCCAAATATTTTATTTATGTTATTATTTATTCTTAGAGGCGGATCCAGAAGCATTCCGTTTTATTCCAGCTATGGAAAATGGAGGAAGGAGTGGAAATCCAAACAGCTTCAGATTTAGAGAGAGGTTTCCGTTTTATGGAAGCTTCTTTAGCTTTTTGCTCTACTTTTTCAGCTCTGTGATGCACAATTTTTTTTTTTTAATCTGCTATTTCTCTTTGAATCCTAGAAACTAGGGTGATCTTTGAAAAATCTCAATGAGATCATGAAACTGTCTTGCTTACCGCCCCCCCGCCATGGCCTCCCATTTAACCTTATAATAAAATTCAAAAGTTTTATCATCTACCATTTGGTCCTATATGCTGTGGGCCCTGCCTACAATTTCCATAACATTTACGTACTTCCGGGACACAAGCTTCAGTTCTACATCCAAAGCTCAACTTTAATTACATCTCCAAGTCTTTGATTTTGCTGTTCTCTTTGCTAACCTGCTCTTTCCCTAGATCTTCACATGGAATATCCCTTCTTATCATTTCGTTCCCATTCAAAAATCACCAGTTCAGAGAGACCTTCTCTGAAAATCGTATCTGCAGTCTCCCTCGCCCCAGTCCTTCTATGCTGTTATGCAGTTTCATTTTTCTTCACAGCAGTTTCTGAAACTATGTAACTCATTTTTTTGCTTGTACATCATCTGTTTCCTGCCTTTGCCATATAACACTACAGAAAAGGAAATTTGTCTGCTAAAGAAATACTTAATCAGAGAATTCTGAATCAATCCAATGGTAAAATAATTGGTAGACATTCCTTTCGATTCTTAGAATTAGCAGGACACAGAACTGTTAACTTGGTGCATCTAAGTACAAAAATAAAAGGCACAATTGCAGAATATTGGAGGGACTCTGAGTCTATTAAAATGGACAGTTATACAGACTACCCTAACACAAGGCAGAGTAAAATTAATGCATAGGAAAGACACAAATAAAATGCATATTTTTGTAAGAGAGGGAGAAGCTACATCCAGAGGAGACCCAGGAAACTTTCATGAAAATCTAGTTCTTTTCAGCAGGTAAAAATGTGGAGGGAGGTGGTGAGAGACGGGGGAACAGATCTGCGAAACAGCAAAATCTCAAGGTAAAGAAGAATGGGATTTCCAAGGTGATGATAAGTTTATAATTTGACAGACTAACAGATACAAGAAGCCAGAGCTCTAAGAAGTAAGACCAAGAGGGAGTTTGAAATACAAGACTAGAGAGACTCAGAGGAAAATAAGAAATGTATTTATGCACGTTGGAGAGCTGCTGACCCATTAATAGTAGGAGTCCTCTGGGGGTCAGAGGTTTGCATTCAAAGTCGGGTGGGAAATTGCCCAGCCAGTTAGGAGGACATTGCTTTTCATCACCTAGACAAAAGGCAGTGAGACCCAGAACAAGATGGGTATGAGAAAACCAGAGAGAGGCAGTTTAGTGATAAACATTACTTTGGCAACTTTTTGGATGTGGACAGTGAAGAGAAACAAGGATCATAGAAGACCCGATATTTGAGGTCTAAGAATGTGAGAAAATGGTTTATCATCCACAAAGATAAAGCAAGTGGAAACAGAAATTGTCGGCAGTTGAGAGAGGGCCAGATGCTTCCATTTGTTTGAGGCTCCCAGTGTGTCACAAAGTCAGTGCTAAAACAGACCCTTCCTTTTCTCTTGGGATTACTCCTTTGCTGTTTTCATCGCGGACTGTCACGTGGCTTCTCCTTGCAACTCTTCCTGTGTAGGGACAGAATAGGGCATGAAGGGGAAGAGAGAACTATTGCCTGATAAGCCAGCTTGGAAAGGGTGACATGGGGAATTGCATCCATTTTTAATGGGTTCTATTTGGAACAACATTGCTTAATTAAAATGAATGGGAGCCAATGGAAACTCCATTCTCTCCTTGTTCAATGCCAAACAAAAAAATATGACAACACTCAGGCTTTCTCATCAACTGAAAGATATTCAAATGAATATTTGATAATGTCCGGTATGACTGATGCTTATTTTTCCTCTGCCATTGGATTTACTTTTAAAGCAGATGGTTTCTCTTCTGATTTACTGTACTTCCCATGCATTACTTTAAAGAAGAAAGCAGATGATGACTTCCCAGGAAGTTGTTAGCTGTTGCTGGATTCTGTGCACTGCTCTGCATATTGAAACGAATCCCCTTATCTTAACAGCTTCATAATAAACAATAAGGACACCTTCTTCAGCAACGCTACTCGGAGCAGGATAGTGTATCACATGCTGCAGCACACCAAATATGAAAATGGAATCTCAAAAGTGGGTAAGAACACGAGTCCAAAATGTAGAGAAAGAACGGTTTGTGGTTACTGATACTGCCCAGAAATATTTAATAACTGAAACTTTGCCTTTGTGTACTAAATATGAATACATAACACATTGAGCTCAAACTCTAAACATTCTGGGTGTTTTTTTTTCAGCCTTTCAATAAAACAAACTCTTAAGAACATTTGGCCATATGTATCAAAATAGGAAATGTGCAAACACTTTAGAACAGAAATGTTATTCCTGAAATGTATCCCAAATAAATAACAATATATGAAAATACTTTAACTGTCCATCGTTAGGAACTGACAAATAATTAGGCTACATCTACATAAAGCATCCATTAAAAATGAAATAATTTAAAGATGTCTCAACACTAATATCCTTTAGAGATATGTTGAGGGGTGAGGAATTCCTCTGCTTCCTTGACTTAATTTTGTTTTGAGGAAAAAGAAAAGTTTCACAAGGCTCATGTGATCCCAATGAGTGGATATTAAAAGTCCCCTAATTTCATGATGTGGCAAAGTGAAATCATATGTTGGCACCTTGCAAATCTCCATCTATTGAAAGTATAAGGACAGAATTAGGCTCTTAATATCAGTCTCTTTTATAACCTCACTGTACTCATAGCTAATGTGGTTATGGAAGTCATTTTGGTTATTTTTTTAAATTAATTTATTTATTTTTGTTACAGATGTTTCTCCTTTTCCCCCCACTGATTCCCCCCTCCTCCACCCTCCCCGCCCTGTCCCCAGCTTTGTTGTCCATGTCCATTGTTCATGCACACATGCATATAAGTTCTGTGGTTTATCTCTCCTTCCCACCCCCTCTTCTGGGGATTGTCAGTCTGTACCCCACTTGCACTATTTTATGTTTTTAAATTAATTTATTCAAAGTGTATATGTGTTGCTTCAGAAGGGAGTCTCTGTTTAAACTAACTCAAGAACTGTTCTTTTCATTCCAGGTATCTGTAAACTGATAAACAATGGTTCATATATAGCAGCTTTTCCCCCCCATGAGGTAATTTTGGAATATAATTTCCTTTTTTTTTTTTAAAAAAAAAAAGGTTCTCATACTCAATGCTTGATCCCATTTTTTAACATTCAATTCTGGTTTCCTGTCTCCCAGGAGGGTTCAATCAACGGCTGGCCCTGGGCTTTTCTGAGCCCCCATTATATTCTGTGTCTGTACACTAGCTCCCCTGCTCCAGACCCCTCCTGCAGTTTTTCCCCACGAGGAATCCCGGCCTTGGAGGGGACTCATGGACCTTGCCTACTGCTCTCTACTCCAACACAGCTCCATGGTGACCATTCCCAAACACGGCAGGTTCCTGGTTTGTGCAAACGACTTTGGGATACTTGAAACTCCAACACAACCCCTCACAAAACCGACAAACTATTCTGTGCTTGGTTCTCTGCCTGAGGATTACCTCTCTACCAGTTTTAAGTAGAAGAGCCTGCTCTGAACTGTGGTGGGCTTTGCCTGCTGAGTCATGAATTACATTCGGATCAGTTTTAATCAACACCACCACCACCACCACCACCTGCACATTGTACTCATTTCAAGGCAACTTTGCATTTTAATATAAGAAAGGGGTCATTAGAGGTTTTACTTCTGCACTTTCTAAACTGGTCCCTCTTCTATGTATAAAGTCTGAGGACTTGAAGGACATAATCCCTGTAGCTTGAGGACCTCACAGTACAGAATAACTCACAACCAATAAAATGTGTTGACCACTTACTACTTGCCACTGAGCTGGATGTTTTATAGGGATTATCTCATTTAATCCTTGAAGAAGCTCCTCAAGGCATAAAAATGTTAAGCATCAACGGTACAATTTTGAGGGCAGAAAGCCAGACTCCAGTTTCTCTCAATGATGGTAAAGTTGCTGTGTTTTGTTAATAGGCCTTACATTCCAAACGGTAAAGTCTAGTTCACTTGAAGTAAAAGGTATCTCATTGGTTTAAAAAAAGAAATTTAAGAAAGAATTTTAAAGGAACTATCAGAATATTCTCAATGAACAAGAGATATATAAAGATATCATCCTTCCAGAGATCAATTAAGTTTACAATTTTGAAGCTTTGAATAAGTTGTTAAATTATTCTGTAAGGGAAAAGAAGCAAAAGCAGTTCCTATTTAGGTCAAATTTCAGTAAGAAAATGGATAGTGATTTATCTTATTTGATCTGTTTCAGGGAGCCTACAAGAGTAGCCAGCCCATCAAAACCCACGGACCTCAGAATAACAGACATCTATTATATGAGCGCTGGGCACGCTGGGGAATGTGGTACAAGCATCAGCCCCTGGATTTAATCAGGTACTTTGCATGGATCCCTAATGGAAGACATATGTTATTTTGTTGTCCTTTTCTTAGATTTGAAATTATTTCATTTGCTCATCAAATTATCTGTATCAGGATGCAACCAAGAAAAAATAAACCACTATGGGTCTTTTAAATAAAATGAACTTAATTTTAGAAATTGGTTACACAGGGGATAGGAAAGCTGAGAAATCAAAAAGAAATCATAAAACAACAGAAAATTGCTGACTACCCTAAAGCTGAAGGGAAAATAGAGTGAAGTGTATTTCAGTGCCCCGTACCTGGACTGTGCAATCCATGATTAGATTACCTGCACAGACGTGAAAGTGTAGGGAGTAAAGCTATGGAGAAGCTGAGGCTACTCTGGAGACAGCACTGAGGACAACCAAGAGAGCAGAAAAGATCCTGGCTGCTCCCTTTCTTCCACCTGTGAGTCTCCCGGTACCTCCTGGCCCAGCTACACCAGGAGCAATTTACAGAGGAACCTGTGTAATTTACTTCCTTGTGAAAACAAATCAAAACAGGGAAAGGCAGAAAATGAATCTGTGAGCAAAGAGGAAAATGACTAACAAAGCATCTGTGCATATATTTATCTTTCAACAAAGATTTAGTGAATATCTATTCCATTCCATTCCATTCCATTCCAATCCATTCCACTCCATTCCATTCCATTCCATTCCATTCCATTCCATTCCATTCCATTCCATTCCATTCCATTCCATTCCATTCCATTCCATTCCATTCCATTCCATTCCATTCCATTCCATTCCATTCCACTCCATTCCATTCCATTCCATTCCATTCCATTCCAATCCATTCCACTCCATTCCATTCCATTCCATTCCATTCCACTCCAATCCATTCCACTCCATTCCATTCCATTCCATTCCACTCCATTCCATTCCACTCCACTCCATTCCATTCCATTCCATTCCATTCCATTCCATTCCACTCCATTCCACTCCATTCTATTCCATTCCATTCCATTCCATTCCATTCCATTCCATTCCATTCCACTCCATTCCACTCCATTCCATTCCATTCCATTCCATTCCACTCCATTCCACTCCATTCCATTCCATTCCATTCCATTCCATTCCATTCCATTCCATTCCATTCCACTCCACTCCACTCCATTCCATTCCATTCCATTCCATTCCATTCCATTCCATTCCAATCCATTCCATTCCATTCCATTCCATTCCATTCCATTCCATTCCACTCCACTCCACTCCACTCCACTCCACTCCACTCCACTCCATTTTCCAATGAGTAATTGCCCTCAACTTGAATTAGTTTTGAAACTGTTACATGTATGATTTATTTTATCTTGATGGAGAATAAATCATTTTTTAAAATCAGGAAATATGTATTATAAAGGAGTTAATCAAGCCCCAGGATAACAATAAATATTTATAAGATGAAAATAAAATCCATATTATAAAGTTATATATGTTGGTATTTTGAATTGTTTATGGAGCATAAATATCAAGAATTGCTAATAACTATATGTGTCATTGTTCCAGTAGGAAACAGATAGAACCAGTAGAGTATAAGGAGTATTTGAAGAGAATTTTACAAAAGAATTATGTACAGAAGTGGAATAGGATCATGCAAGCCAACAAATGATGATGAAGCTTCCAGGGACTAGCAAAAGCTGGATGTTACAAACTTAGTTCGGCAGGGACAAGGGAAGAAAGCAGTTGGCAGAACCTGTCACAAGCTGTCATCATAGGAGCAGGGATGCCCAACAGAAGCTATGGTCTTAGGAAGAAAGCAGCCACAGCCAGAGCATAGCCCAGGAAGGAGCAAGTCAGGGTAATAAACACCCCAACATCTTTCTTTTTTTTTTTTTTTTATCCTCACCCGAGGACATTCTTCCATTTTTTGTACAGATAGAGCGGGAGGGAGAGAGAGGAAGAGAGAGAGAGGGAAACATCGATGTGAAAGGGACACATCGAGTGGCTGCCACCCACACGACCAACCAGGACCGGGGACAAACTGCAACCGAGGTACGTGCCCTTAGCGGGAGCCGAACCCGGGTCTCTCCGGACCACAGGCGGACGCTCCACTGCTGAGCCAAACCGGCCAGGGCCCAACATCTTTCTTATCCCACCCTGTGATGTCCTGCTGGTACCTTCTGTTGGCCAAGGAGCCATCAGGAAGCCAGAAGTAGGAAGGAGCATGGGTGACACGGTCCACAGCGGTGAGCCTCCTGGGCCAGCAGAAAGGAAAAGGGTGGGGCGTGGATCTAGATGCACAAAACAACATGCTGCCCCAAACCGATTTTACTTCAAGCATTAAGTGCTTGGGTATATCCAACATCATGGTGCTTTGATTCTAAATCTCCAAATCACAGCAAACTGTCAGATTTTTCTTTGTGCAGGTGAAAGATTCTTTTAAAGATATAAGCAGAGTGAGACGTGCTACTCCACAGAACCATATTTATTAGGAACCAAAAATGAAGCTGGGATTTGCAGGCATCGTTTCCGCGTCAATATTTTATCCATAGGAGATATTGCTGTTGCTGCTTAGGTCAATTCAGCAAGCCATCTTCAGTTTCAATAAATAGAAAATACTGTTACCTCAGCTGCTATCACCAATTATTTGGCTATTGATGTAGAAGGGAAATACTGCTTATGAAAATCATACATTTCATGTTCAAGTGGCTAAGGGGAGAGGGATGTGATGAAAGTCTCACCCAGATGAAGGCCATAAAAGATGATAGATGGCATTCCAGGAGGTCCCTACTCCCTGGGACCTTGCTTGTTATCAAAATTGAGGTGAGGCAGACACATACGTTGAACTATACAATCTCGTGCAAGGCTCAGTTTTCTGTAACCAGCAGGAAATTTACCTTAAAATCTGTGACTTTTATAAATCATTTGGAGTAAAGCTGTTCTTAAGACCACACAGTTTTGCCCTGGCTGGTGTGGCTCAGTGGTTGAGCATCCGTCTACCATGCACCCACAGGTCACCAGTTCGTCCTGGTCAGGGCACAGGCTGGGTCGGGGGCTTGATGCCCAAGAGGGAGGTGTGCAGGAGGCAGCTGATCTGTTTCTCTCTCTCATTAGTGTTTCTCTTTCTCATTGATGTTTCTCTCTCTCCCTTTTCCTTCCTTTCTCTCTAAAATAAATAAACAACATATTTGAAAAAATAACCCACACGATTTTGAGGACACGGGGCTCTTATGGTCTTGCTTCCTGTTTGTAGTGAGAGAAGGAGGGTATTGAGGAGTTAGTGGTGGTGGATGGAGACCTTCACAGACGTGCAGGCAAGGCCTGTGTGCTCTCTTGCTGAGACAGGCGGTTCATCAGTAGTGGATGAGAGGTGGGGGGCTCTTCATCTGTTTTTCTTTTTATAAACAACCATCTCTGGACATGCATTTTTGGTTTTTGTGGGTTTTTTGTTTTTTTTTGTTGTTTTTTTTACATTTTAAGAATGAACCCAAACATTTGCTAGCCAAAGCCTCTGTTAGTTCCGATCTTTTTTCTCATGGAAAACATTTGAATCTGAGAACAGCAACATTTTAAAAATTGTCAGTTACCAAACCAGCTTAGCCAAATGGTTGTATGGCATTTTCCAAAATGTTTCACCATAGGCACCAGAGCGGTTTAAATTGAAAAATTAAATGAAATAATTATCTCTAAAGTAAGTTCAATTTGTTTATTTATGATTAAGGTTGTTTCAGAACAGAACCTGGTCCTCACGTGAAATGTCACATAGGGGCCAACATAAGACAGATCAGACAGAAGGGCTGTGGGTGAAGTGTGATGGTTCGTGACAGCCACCCTCTTTCCTCCTCCCCGCCTGCCTGGTCACGGTTTCTGAGATCCCTTTACGGAACACTTAGCCTGGAAGATGGTGAATGCAGTGCTCTCGGTCAAGGCGTTTTCATCAGCCTTCTTTGCGTAGTAGAACTCTCTTTCCTCTTCTGAAACAGATCTGAAACCTGATGTAACTCAGGTGATTATACTCCTGTCAAATATGATTGTTACTCCTGTTAACTTTTAATAATATGTAATTAAAAATTTCAGTATAATAGTGTCTGTATAAGGGGTCTATCTATATAGTCTATAATCAGTCTCAAGATATTTTGATATATTAGTAATACTCCAATCTTCAATTGAACGCTTGTTTAAAGGGACAAAGGATTTGTTGTAATACCTGTTATTAAAATACTCTTCTGTTTCAAAGGAGAACATTATCATTGTATTGAAAATAAATAGACTAATAGTCCATGTCTGGTAGGAGATATAAATGAAAAAACAAAAAACAAAATATTCGATAGATGAAGCTTAATGGAGGATGACTTTATGTCTACACCTGGTAGAACAGACACATTTTAGTTGGCACAATACAGAACATAAAGTAGCAAAAGAATGATTTTCAGAAAGAGAAATCTTGTTAAGAAAAAATAACAGGAGACTTTCTTCCCAGCGAGAATCACTGCCCAGTGCAATATTCCCAAATGAACTGTAAAACACCAATCTTTAAAACTATTGCTGAGATAAGACTCTGTGTTATGGAACCAATTTTTAGGAAATGGAGATCAAAAAGTAGTAGAGAATTCAAGAAATTATTATTTCTTACCGGGGCAGCTGGTACTAACAGTAGACTTGGTGAAGAAAGAGCAATTGAGTAGTCTTTTTTTTTTTTTTTTTTTTCTTCCTCTATTGATTTTTTATAGAGAGAGGGAGAGAGAGACAGAAACATCGATGAGAGAGAACATCGATTGGCCATTCCCTGAATGCTCACCACTGGGGAGCAGGCCCACAACCTGGGCATGTGCCCTGACCGGGAATCGAACTGGCGACCTCTTGGTGCATGAGTCGATGCTCAACCACTGAGCCACACTGGCCGGGCTGATTGAGTAGTCTTTAGATATGCTTTATTATTCTTCCGTTTCCATATAGACTCTATTCAACAGCTAAACGGAAGTAAAATGTATTCTCTCCCTTAGAGCCATTGGCTACTTCCTGTGGAGAGAGAGTAAAACAAGCCATTCCACTTCCCGGCGACATTCAGTCTCGGGAGGGGGAGGAATGGGGGACTCCGAGTGTCTGCCATAAGTGTATACATTGAGGGTGCTGAAACGTGGGTGAGGGCATGACATCCAACCCGGGGTTGGAGAGGAAGTCAGGAAAGACTTCCTGGAAGAAGTGATATAAAGTGACGGGCACGTACAGGCCAGACACGGGAAGAAGGTGAAATGTGATATCCCACAGCATGAACCAAGCAAAGAATCCTAGGCTCCAGGAACCGCAGACCTGAAATGTGTTGAGGGACTGTGACATAACTGTGTAGACTGTCCGGCATAAGGGAATGTGGCCAAGGGGTGCCGATGGAGACTGAAATCGAGCCTGCTCTCCCCATCCTCCTACAGAGGACACTTTTTTCTAATTTAAAAGCAATATGGTGTATCACAGCCCTGAGTGCAGTAAACGAAAAGGGATTCTACTAGGAGGATGGAGAAAAGCAAGAATTGGCTTCTAAAAAGCTTCACGAACCACATTAAGAATTTTGACACAGAATTAAACATACTTTATAAAATTGTTCCTATGAGGACAATGTTTCAAGATAAACAGTGTCACTATTATTAGAATCATGAACAACCATGAAAATTAAGATAACCCACGTGGCCCTGGCTGGTTTGGTTCAGCAGTAAGAGCGTCGTCAGCCTGCAGACCAAAGAATCTCAGGTTCAATTCCAGTCAAGGGCATGTAGCTCTGTTGCAGTTTGGTCCCTGGCCCTGGTCAGGGTCTTGCGGGAGACAACCAATCAATGTGTCTGTCTCACATCAATGTTTCTCTCTCTCTCTCCCCTGTCCCTCTCCCTGCCTCCCACTCTATCTGGTGATAAACAACTATCCTCCAGTGAGGATTTAAAAAAAAAAGAGAACGCTGTTGGAGCCAACAAGGGGCTGAGCTGGTCCATCTGAAATTCTGACTCCGTGTGACATCAACATTTGTAGTGTCACTTATCTTGCCTTAAGCTAACAATTTGCTTTCTCATGCAGGCTCTATTTTGGTGAAAAGATTGGGCTCTACTTTGCGTGGCTGGGATGGTATACTGGAATGCTGATTCCGGCAGCACTGGTTGGCTTGTGTGTTTTCTTCTATGGAATATTTACAATGAATGCAAGTCAAGTAAGGTAAGCTACTAACAGACTTACTGAAAGCTGTTGACCTTTCTTCTGGTTGGACAAAAACTTTATGATAAAACTGACTATAAAAACAAGTGATGGTACTGCAATATATTTGCTGGTTTTTTGTGTTTTTTTTTTTTTTTGGTAGGGAAGCATCACAATTAAAAAGGTCATTTTTCTACTATTGTTATCAGTGGGGTGCCCTCTATGTCCCCACCTGTACTGTTGGAAGTGGAGTTCTTGGGGTACCATGGGGAAAATAATTTCCTGAGGCCCCCATGGGAGAATGAGGTAGCGTGGAAACCTTATTGATGATGTAAAAGTAAGGTCCCATTTCCGTCTGTCTTGCGGTGGAAAAAGTCCAGTCTTGTCTTCAGCAGAACTAAGATTAAAGTCACTGCCCAGAGGTTCCGCTCCATATTAAAGCACAGTCCAGCCCAGCATCTGGCTGGCTTAGCCTGTGCTCCCAGCTGCAGTCCACTGCATGTGGGGTCTGCCGGCCATGGCCCATGAGGCACCAAGGCCATGGGGTGGGCTAGTGCATGGGTGAGTGCAGGTCATGGAGCAAGGGAGCAGGAGCACAGAGAAGAGCAGAACAAGAGAGAGAATTCCTTGGGGATTTTAACATTGCAAGATTTTGCATGCTTGCAGTGGCTCTACCTCCTAGCCAGTTGTTTTTCTCCCAGGTCAGACTGACAGGCAAGTCCCTTCCCTATGTCACCCCACCCAGACTTCACTGCACATGCACCCATGTCACCCTTTGTTTGGTTTCTTCCCCCTGTGATCCCCCAGGTATTTCCCTGGGGAGCGTGAAGTTGCAGCTTCCTGGTGAAGCATCCAAGATGACTGTGCTTATAATGTCTCGCCTTCCCTTTGCTCTCTTCCTGTCATTAATATTAGTGAGTTAATTATGACAATAACACTATTATATGCAAATGCTCTTGCATAAGTTCTAAAATTGTTTATGTCAAATTTCTCTTTCTAGTATATGCCACATAATAATTCGATGATGCAATAGACAGTTTTATACAATTTACATTTTAGCATTTGGAAATCTAGAATGCCCTCTACATAATTATATAGCTACAATTCTTTTAACACTCACAGTATACAAAAGCCTTCTAAATATGTTGTTTCATTTAATATATCCTTTACTACCGCACTTGGAGACGAGTATCCCTTTTTGCTGATGTGGAAACCTTACATAGTTAAAGATGTCTAAGCAAAATACTCGTCCCACATAAACCTTGCTCTAAGCAGCTTGCTCTCCTGAGAACAGAAAATCACTTTCTACTATCGTCTTACTCTCTGTAAGAACAGATATTGTAATAATTTTTTGCATCAACTTAAGATATCAAGATAGTGAAATAAGGTTCAACAAAAATCACATGTGTATTAGAATAGTGATTGTTTTGTTAAAGTCGAGGTAACTCAATATCTGGATATAGAAACAATGCCTTCTTTTTTTTCTATTTATCTTTATTTCTTTAGTGTTGAGAGTATTACAGATGCCCCTCCTTTTTACCCCCATTGACACCCTCCATTGGTTTTGCATATATGCGTATCAGTTCTTTGGTTTATCTCTTCCCACCCCCCACCCTCTTCCCTCTGAGGTTTGTCAGTTTGTTCCCTACTTCCATGTCTCTGGATCCATTTAGAACAATGCATTATTATTCAGCAGAGCCAACAGTAACCCTGGCACTAAAGGCTCTTAGCAGCATCTTCTATTTCATTTATCTCAAGGATATCATTAAGTTCAACCTTGTAGGATACAATTCAAAATATGAAAAAACACCTCTTCCCTCCTTCAAAGCTCAGCACTTCTGTTTTCTTCCAACTTTTAACCAGGGCTTGTCACTAGGTAGTAATCATGACAGTTAAGGGAATCGTGAAAATCTGTTTCCTTAAATTTTGAAAAATATGTCTATGATATTCAAATGCACATGTATGAATATGTGCAACAGTTTTCCTCAAAACAAAGTACTTTCATTGTCCTAGAGATGAATTCTGCTCCATAGCCAACTTCTTTGATTTGATATCTCAGCATGAAGTCCAAATGATAATCAGTATGAAAACAACAACAAGAAAAACCACCTACTGTTCAAAAGCATTTCATCTAGTCGTAGGTTTATTTCAGAGTTTGACAAAATCACTACCACTCTGGAAGGCAGCATCTTCCTGTTCCTCAGTTTATTTAATCAATGTCTTACAGTTTTCAGTGTACAGATCTCTCATCTGCTAGGTTAAATGTATTTCTAAGTGTTTTATTCTTGTTGATGCAATTGTAAATAGGATTGTTTTTTTTAGTTTCTCTTTTTGATAGTTTGTTGTTAGTGTATAGAAATACAAGCGATATTGTCTATTGATTTTGTATCCTGCAATGTGTTTGAACGTGTTTATTAGTTCTGACAGTTCTCTGGTGGAGTCTTTAGGGTGTTAGAAAAACACTCTTTAAAATGAATTAACACAGAAAATAATTCTTAGACAGCTAGCTACTGTTCAAGTTGGTGCCAAGGTTACCTATTCTCGAGGTTTTATTATGTCCCATAGATTCCGCCTCCACCCCTACAAAGCTGAAAATGAACGAAAGGCAATGAAAGAAATAGATTTGTTCCTATTGATGTATGTACCAATGGGGTAAATTAGACTCCTTTGTATGAGATAAGTATTCTTTAACCTTCAGTACAAGGAGTGTTTTAAAAGGCATTAGCAAACTCTTTTCTTCAGTGCTTTATGGTTTTCTATTTCTGCTACTTCTATCACACTATAATTAAAATCTTGTTAGACTTTTTATTCTAAATCAAGATAAGCTTCACTGAATATCTTGACTTTCAAAATTTTATGGAGCTGAAATTTTCCATTCAAGGTGTCAGACATAGTTACTAGTTAAGTTGTAGGTGTTATTGTGACAGGTGGGGAAAGACACAGAGCCTTTTGTGTTGCTTTGTTTTAGTATAATTTTTTTAAATGTATTTTTGTTACAGATGCTTCTCCTTTTCTCCCCATTGACACCCTCCTCCCGCCCCCCTCTTCACAGTATTGTTGTCTATGTCCATTGGTTATGCATATATGCATATAGGGATTTTAGTATAATTTTATTAAACTCTTTTTTGTTTATTGCAAAGAAACAAAATGTTCAAAAGCTGAGGATTGGGTTATATTTATTATGTTTCTACCAGGTATGTCCATATAAGTTAAAGTCATATTAATTAATTGCCCTGCAGTAGAATTATGTAACAATTGAGTTGTAGATTATTTATTGTATGTACATGTACATGTATAGATTTACATGTAATCTTGGTCTTGCATAATCAAATGTGGTCAGATTTATGCACGGGAGAGGACATACCGTAGGAGTATGAAAATGAACAAGCAGATAGATGTGGTCTGCTTCCCTGGGATTCAGGTCCAGAGAAAGAACAGAAAGCCCCACTTTCTAGCCCATTCTTTCCTCTTTGGCATTAAAATGCACCGAGACATTTATGTGGTCTTCGGTATTGACCAACTTTTCTAAAGAGGTTGAGTCCTAAAGGAACTCTCCAACCATCTCCTGACATCTGTTTCTTTCATTTATTAACTGTCTATGGTATGCCAGGCGCATTATCAATAGCCCTTATGTGGTATCCCAGCTAGATATTATCTCTCTCTAGAGATAAAGAAATTGATCCTCAGAGAGGTAAATGACTTGGTCAGGGGAGGCAAGAGTCACCCCGGCACTAAAGGCTCTTAACAGCATCATCTATTTCAAATGGTCAACTAATTTTCAAACCTCTATCTGATATATATATTTAACATGAGATCTACCCTCTTCAAAAATGTTTTAACTGCAGCCCTGGCCAGGTGGCTCAGTTGGTTGGAGCATCATCATGTACACCAATAGGTTGTGGGTTTGATTCCCAGTTAGGGCGCTTACCTAGACTGCAGGTTCAAGCTCTGGTCAGGGCACGTATGGGAGGCAACCGATGGATGTTTACTGTTTCTTTCTCACATGGATGTTTCTCTGTCTCTGTCTCTCTCTGTCTCTCTCTCTCTCTCTCCCCCACCCCCCCACCCCTTTCCTCTCTCTGAAGTCAACAAAAAATGTTTCAGTGCACACTGCAGTATTGTTAACTATGGGCAAAGCATTGTAGAGCAGATTTCTCGAACTTATTTAGCTTGCATAACTGAAACTTAATACCTCTTGAACAGCAACCCTCATTTCCCTCTGCCCTGCCCCCTGGGAAATAGCATTCTGCCCTGTTCCTAGGAGTTTGACTGTTTCAGATGCCTAATGTCAGTGGAACCATGCAGTATGTGTCCTGCTACTGGTTCATTTTACTTTGTGCAGTACACTCCAGTTCGCCTATATTGTTGCATAGGGCAGGATTTCCTCCTCTTTCAAGGCTGAATAATATATCCGTGTATGTTTATAGCACATTTTTATATCCATTCATCTATGGATGGATATTTGGGTTATTTCCATATCTTGGCTGTTGCGGGTAATGCTGCAATAAATATGGGAGTGTAGATATCTTTCCAAGATCCTGATTTCAGTCCTATTAGATATATACCCAGAAGTGGGATTATTGAATTACATGGTAGCTCTATTTTTTAATGTTTTGAGGAAACTCCATGTTGTTTTCCATAGTGGTTATACTATTTTACCAAAAATGTACAAGTGTTCCAAATCTTCCACATTCTTGCCAACATTTGTTATCTTTTATTTGTTTGTTAATAGAAATTCTAACAGGCATGAGTTAATGCCTCATGATTTGATTTGCTTTTCCCTGATAATTATATCTGATTCTAAAATTTATGCTTTACTCATGCTTCTGTACTATCTTTTACACCTACTTAAACATTTTCCCAATTCGCCAAAATGAACATCACCAAGCATCGTGTTCTGTGCTTTGTCACGGAAAACATCAAGACCCTGGAGCGGGTCCAGACATCCACCCTAAAATGGACAAATTGCTACCTCCTCCCATTATCTTAAGTGGTGGCAATTATTATTTCCTTTAAGTCAGTCCCTTAATGTGTAGATCTGACAATAGACGTAAAACAAAAGAAACCCACAATTCAAGGAATGGTTTATATTTTCCAGCTCAGCAATAGAAATGAAGAAACAATCATGCTGAGCTCTCTTTCTCCCTCTAGTGGTTAAGTAAAAGCAAATACATTTCTGATAGTCTCAAATCCCTTATTTCAAGCAAAAAACACATTGTCAAAAAATTGTTTAATGTTTTTTATTACGTATTAAGTTAAGCTTTGAGCTCATTATAGAAAATGAGTTTAGTGTTTCTGGAATTAAAAATAGGACTCAGTCTGATGGCTGGCTTTCTAGACTTGGTGCTTTTTTGACCATTTTGGGAAATGAGAAAGATGATGTAGCATAAACTGACGTTACCATTTTAGTGTGCGATTTCAATGCAGGACACTTCGTGTCATCCTTGAAGCACAATGAATTATGATAGAAAGCCCATTTTAACCTAAATTTCCTTCAAGACATGTTAATTCTTCTTGTTTGTACAAATTGGTAGTATTACTAAGAGAAGATAGAACCCTCTCCTTCTTTGGGGCTTTTAAAATGTATGCTTTATCTGCTTCCTCCTACTTCATATAGACATCTGATCACTAAAAATATGATGTGTGTGAAAGTGGGGGAATGTATATACAGGACCCATTATATCATCATCATCACTGATACATTTGTTTTTGATAGGAAAGTTCCTTTTAATATGAAACAAACATGTCCTTTATTTAGATATATTATAGTTGGTGGAGAATTAGACCCAGAATCAGAAAGACCTGTATTCAGTTCCCTGAAGGACCTGTTGTTAGCTGTATGACCTTGAGCAACTCACTGAGATTAAACATCAGTTTCCTCTCAGTTGTGAAGATAATTACCATTGCAGGAGATTGCAGTGAGGACTAAACTGAATGGACATGAACTCATTTCTGCTTACTGTGAAGCCCTGTATTACTAAACAGTATTCTTATATTTATCCTTACTACAACTTGAGATTATACATTACCAGCACTTGAAATACCCATGGCGTTTTGCTTTATTGGATTGTAGACATTTCAGAAAACTGGAATTCTTGTTGCAAACACCACAATTAAATTTTTATGTTCAGAGATATATTCAGAAGCCTTGAACTTACTTTCATCATTTCCAGAGCAGATTCACTTAAAGACAATTTATTCTGGGGATAGTCAATGAGAAAGAACCATGTATGACAGAGTCACAAAACATCTTAAAAATAGTTGCTGTAAACTCTCAAGCTGTGAGGCTTTTGCGAAGTTATTCTTGATGCCCTAGTCCTGTCCAAAATGTATGCTGAGATATTTTAAAAGGTAGTGGCAAGAAACTGAAGAGACAGATATTATAAAGGTATATTCTAATAGAGAATATACCATATTTCAGTAAATAAAAAACTATGTCATGTCAGCATGACAGTGTGTGTCAAGTTAAAGCAAAGATGGATGGAAGGAAGGAAGGAAGGAAGGAAGGAAGGAAGGAAGGAAGGAAGGAAGGAAGGAAGGAATTAGCTGTCTCAAATTTCCAATGGACATGATGCACGGATTTACTGTGGTGGGGGTTATGAAGTTGTGTGAATTATGGATGCTATTCATTTTGGTAATTCTAAGGCAGCAAGATCCAGGGGAAAGATCGATAGACTTGAGAAGTCAGAATAGTCAGATTTGATTCCAGCTCAGCCACTTCTAAGCCTGTATGATTTGATTGGTTGATATTCCCTTGGGTGTTCCTCACAAAATTATCCTGCATGGCATGAAATCATGTGTAAAAATGTCTTCATAACAAAGCCTCACAAGTATCTCCCATATAAAAATATGCCCTGTGGCCTGGCTGGTGTAGCTCAGGGGTTGAATGTTGACCCATGCACCAGGAGGTCATTGGTTCAAACCACAGTCAGGGCACATGCCCAGGTTGTGGGCCCAATTCCCAGTGGGGAGCATGCAGGAGACAGCCAATCAATGTTCTCTCTCATCAATGTTTCTCTCTCTCTCTTTCTGTCACCTGCCCTCTCCTAAAATCAGTAAAGAAAAAAAAAAAAAAAAAAAAAAAATATATATATATATATATATATATATGTATATATATAGCCTATGATCATTACATTATCTGGATGGAGATTTTTAAAAACAAAGAAGCAAACAGAAACCTCTGTATCACAAATATCCTAGAAATTCAAGTTGGAGCCACAGTCTTAAGTTCTTCCTCACCTGTCTACCACGTCCTACTATGTCCATGTCTCCGTTTCCGCCCCTCTGTTGCTGCTTCCCACAGAATTGACCATAGGAGCTAAGTACCTTCCTAAACATTGAAGGTTTATGCTTTCTTTTTTCTTATTTGATTTCTCAAGCCAAGAAATTTGCAAGGCTACTGAAGTCTTCATGTGCCCTCTGTGTGAAAAGAACTGCTCGCTGCAGAGACTCAACGAAAGCTGTATCTATGCCAAGGTGAGTGTGGACCCTCACTCCTTCCTGAGCTCCAGGTAGTAAAGTCCTGGAGTAAATTGCGTTTTATCAAAGTTAAATGTTCCTAAGACTTTCAACAATCCACATCAATGACAGTGGCATAAGATGTCATCTGCGGCAATTACGGAACGAGTATATTTCTGTTTAAATGTTGTCTCTCCCTTTGTTTTTATAATTGATTGTTGCCATCATAGACACAGAGTTTCTCTTGAAAGGATGTCTAGATTCTTTTCAGGAAAAGATGATTATTTTTATTGCTAATGATTACATTTGAATTTTCCATGAAGATTTATGAAACTAAGATACTTTTAGTTTTACAGGAAAAAATGAAATAACATACCAAAAGTTCTCAAATTGTTCATTCTTAAGCGTCACCTGGAGGTTTTCTCAAATTTCTGAAGCCCAGTAATACCCAGAATCTTTGGGTTTGGAACCTGGGTGGGCATCAGCATATTTTAGAACTTCCCAGGTGATTCTACTGTGCATACAAGTTCGAGAAGCTAAAATTCAGTTACTATTGTTTACTTAAGAAAGTTTTTTAAAATTATAATGAACATATAACAAAATGTACAAATTTGTAGTGTATAAACTGATGCGTTTTGATTTCATATATGCACCTATGACGTCATCACCATGATCAAAATAACGAACATATCTATCACTTCCGAAAGTTTTCTTCAAACACCCTCATAATCCCTACCTCCCAACTCCACCCAGCTCTGCCTGTTCTGTCATTGTAGGTAACTTTGTATTCTCTAGATTTTCTGTAGATGGAGTCATACAGTGTGGGGTTTTTTGTTTTGTTTTTTATCCTCACCCGAGGATATTTTTCCTTTTTTTTTTTGTACAGATAGAGTGGGAGGGAGAGAGAGGAAGGGAGAGAGAGAGAGAGAAACATCGACGTGAAGAGACACATCGAGTGGCTGCCACCCGCACGACCAACCAGGGCCGGGGACAAACTTGCAACCAAAGTACGCGCCCTTAGCGGGAACCGAACCCCGGTCTCTCCGGACCGCAGGCCGACGCTCTAACCGCTGAGCCAAACTGGCCAGGGCCAGTGTGGGGTTTTTTTATTCTGCCTTCTTTCACACACCATAATCATTTTGAGATTTATCCACATTGTAACATTTATTAGTATATTAGTCCTCTTTACTGCTGAGTAGTTCTGCAGTATATGACCATACAAGAGTTTGTTTATGCACTCATCTATTAATGGACTTTGGGATTGTTTTAAGTGATTACCATTTTAAATAAAGTTGCTATGAGCATTTGTCTAACAAATCTTCCTGTAGAGAAATACTGTTATTTCTCTTGGGTAAATAAATACATAGGTATAAAATAGCTGGATTATATAATAGGTACAAATTTAACTTTCTAAAAACTGCCAAACTATTTTCCAGAGTGTTTACACCACTTTACATGTTTGCCAGCAGTGTATGAGAGTTCCAGTTTTCTTCATAGTCACTAACTCTTAGGATAGTCAGTCTTTCTAATTTTAACTATTCTAACAGATGTGTAGGGATATCTCATTGTAGTTTAGTTACTTGAAAATAATTCGAACTTTTTGGATCTTGATTTTAAGATCTGTGAAATGGGCACACAGCAGTGCTCTGTCTAGCACTTTTCTCACAATAAAAGCAAGATCTTTCTGTGGACTCTACTTAATGCGCTGTGGATAATGGGGAATTCCAGTCTGGCAGTTGGAATAGGCCCTATTCCTGTCTCTAATCCTCTCAGATATTCTTTCCTCAGGTAGTCTCCTCATGGACATGCTCACTGGGTGCTGTCTGGATTGCCTCTCTGTGCACCCTAGTAATCAGTGTAGTAACCTGAGGCAATCATAATGCTCACTTCATTTGTTGCCCACCTCTCAGGGATCACCATTCATTGCCTAACACCCACTATCTTGAAATCTTGCCTATATATTTTGTGAGTTCTTTGGTTGTTTCCAGAAGAGGTAAAATTAATCACTGTTATTCCATCTTGTTCAGAAGTATGGCTCAGTGGAGGGAGAGCACTGGCCCACAGACTAAATGGTCATGGGTTTGATTCCTGGTCAAGGGCACGTACCTGGCTTGTAGGTCTGATCCCCGGCCCTGGTCAGTGTGTGTGTGGGAGGCATCCAGTGTGTCTCCCTCACATTGATGTTTCTGTCAGTCTCTCTCCCCCTCCTTCCCTTCTACTCTCTAAAAATTCAATGGAAAAAATATCCCGGGTGAGGATTAATAAAGAAAAACTGAGTAGTAACTCTCTATACAATTAACTTTGACTAGGCTGGGTATAATATCAGAGTCCCTCAATATCCTACTATAAGACCAAACTTAGTAAAATTAGCTCCTAAATAATTTATCTTGAATGCATAGTATGGGAAGTCTGTTGTTTATAATTTAATTTCTAAAATACACTGAGTTTTGAATTATTTGAAATGTTCCACAAAGATGTGTCATTTTGGGAAGCATTTTATCAACATTTTTTTGCAAAATCTAAGTATATTAGAGTTTAGAGTTATTAGATGTATAAATATGTGTGTATGTATGTACACACACACACACACACACACACATACATCCCTCTCTTAGCCCATGCATTTTAAAGACATATGACAGCCTTCGAGACACCAACAAATTCACATGTTACTTTTACTTAAACAGATAAATGAAACACACTGGCTTTATCTGAGCACTAAATATAAGACACGTCCACATATGGCAGAGTGACAGAGTGAAGACACATTCCAAAGACTAGGGGGCTTTTGTCATAGCACAGTATCTACATCCCTCCATTTCTTGGGAGGAAAGAGTATGTTTAGGGACAGGTATGACTCATAAAGCACCCACTTAATAACTATTATAATAAAGGTGGGAAAAGTACCTTAAAGAGGAGAATATTGCCTTATAGAACAATACAAGAAATAAAACCCATCAGGGTGACATTTGTCTTGCATTTGTTTCTCTGGCTAAGATAAAGCGTGGAGCCAGCTGCTCCCAGGCTGTGCTCAGTGGGAGTGTTGGGCCTGACTCACCCCAGAAGCACAACCAGTCCACCACCCAGCCCTCCAGTTCCCTCTATGCAGCTTTAGACCCTACCCACCACCTCCATGGCCAGTAACTGCCTGGGAAGCAGAAAATGCTCTCGAGGGAGGTGCTGTCCCTACCTCCCCCAACACTTCTCCAAGGGCAGCCCTCTACCCCCACGAGGTCACCTGGGGGCACAGAGGGTGGACTGGGGTCCCCAGGGTCCCCCATAACTCCCAGTATATATGAATAAATAAATGGGATTTTAATGGTTCCCCCCCCACACACACACACATATTCTTATTACTTGTGTGATAATCTGTCAGTATCCCCTCTTGACCCTTCACTCTCTCGCTTTATTTCATTTTCCTTTTTGGGTTCCACCCTGAGCCCTCGGGTCCCCTTCCAGATTCCTGTTTATAAGCCCTATCCCCTCTGTCCTGGATTCGTATGTGAAACTTATCTAAATAAACCTTTTGGAGAAAAAAAAAATGAAATTCCACTTCCTTCAATGGATAGAAATAAACATTCCTTTTATTTTTTTGAAGGTTAAACATTTATAACATACATGCAGCCTATACATGAAATCTGTAGCCCAGGGGCTGTGGCTCTGAATGGACCCTTGAACCTGTCAGCAGCTCCACCTTCCAGGCCCCACCTGCTGCCTCCATAGTCCAGAGTTTGCTTGGGCAGGTAACATAGCAAACATTGTGGATACAGGCTTAGTCACAGGGTTAGATGAAGCTCTTCTACCTGGAATGATGAAAAGGTGTCTCAGCAGCTTGTCTGTCCCTTCCCCTTCTGGGAAGTTTGCTTCCACTGCAGTTAAGGTCACCAGGATGAAGGCAGGGTTAGGGCTGGAGACTCACTGGAGCCTTGGGAAGCATGTGGTGGGGATAAGAGGGCTTGGGAGAATAGATATTTGAAGGGACCTGCTTAGAACAGAAACTGATGATCTTGGTTCAGCACTCCCAAAATAAGGGCAAGATGACTGTAACAACCATAGAGCATCCCAGAGGAAGAAGATCATACCTCACCCCCACAAGATGATATAAGCCCTTAACATAAGAACTGGACCAAAGAGCCCAGGGAACTCCACAGGAGGGGAAACCCTGCCAAAGCTTGGAGGGCATGGAATTTAGAATGTCTCTCTGGACTCCAGGGCCCAGTCTCAGAGCAAGGGACTGGGGACCTGGCCCACCCCTGTTTCTCACCTGTGGACATGTAAGCAGGTAGTGAGCCTCCTCTTTCATGGGAGGTCACAGCCTGGGGAAATCCCCCCTTTAGGGTGGGATGGGCCTGTGGAGACAGAGAAGGGTTGAGGCCAGCTTCCAGGAAGCTCAGTTGGATGCTCTGGGCCCCTTTGGTATCTCATAGAAAATCTTTCTTGCAGGGTGGATGCCTCAGCTCAGACTGGGGAAAAGGTAGAATAGAGCTTGGCTGATCTCACTCCTACTAGCATGCACTGGGGACCTCAAACAACTAGATGGGGAGGAGCCAAGCCCATAGGGTCCAGAACAAAGGGTGGGGAGGGACTGGGGGCACAGCACCCAGGGTCCATGGGTATTCCAAAGTCCTCTGAGTTACGGGTTCAGCTGATGTAGATACGGTGGAAGTCATGGGCACCAAAGGCTGTGTTGCACTTGGGGCACTTCCTCTGGCGGGCCTCATAGCGACCCCGCACACACTCAAAGCAGAAAACATGGAAGCACTTGGTAAGGACAGCATCTTTCTTGCGAGTGTTACAGCAGGGGCAGGTCAGCCGCGCCTTGTACTCCTTGATCTCCTCCTGGAGGATTTCATCAGCATCTGCATAAACCTCCACCTTCCTCTGCTTCTCCAGCTTGCGCCGCAGTCGTGAGATGTCCTCCTGAGCCCTCTTGAGGTTGAAGCTCTCTTTCTCTCGAGCAGCACGGCTCTCTGCCAAGCAAGGCTGGATCTCTCGAAGCCGTGTCTGCACATGTTCCACCTGCACCTTTAGGTCCTCAGCCAACTGGGCTGCTTCCACAGCCTTCCTCTTATTGAGCTCCAGGGCCTGGCTGCACAACATCAGCTCCTTTTCTACACCTCCAAGGCTGCCCTGCAAAGCCTCCTCTTGTTCCTCCAGCTTCTGCACAGTCAGCAACTGGGCATCCACCTGAGACTTGAGGCAAAGAACCTGCTCGCCCAGCTCATCCTTCTCCTCCCGCAGCAGCTTGTGAATCTGGTTGGCTTTGATCCGCTCTGACATCAGCTTAAAGTTGGCATCATCCTTTTCCCGCAATTGCTGTAGCAGTCGCCCATTTTGCTCCTGCATGTCCTCAAAAGCCTGACCTGTCACATCCATCTCTGACAGCAGCGCTTCCTCCTCCTGCTTGGTGGTACCCAACTTGCGCTGCAGATGTTCTATCTGCTCCTCTGCTTGCCGAATGCGTCGAAGGGCATCCTCATCAGCAATCTTCTTGCTTTCTCTTTGATCCCTCTCCTCCAATTCCCGGATACGACACTGTAGCTCCTTGACCTCAGCCTTTGTCTTGCGTTCAGCTGCCACAAGCTGTGCCTTATCCCGTTGCTCTTTGGACACCGATTTGTACATGTCCAACAGCAGCTTCATCTCCTTCTGGCTTTCTTGGGCCTTCTTGAGCTCTTCTCGGAGACCTTTGAGGAATTCTGACTCCTTCCTCTTGGTCTCTTCCACCTTGGCCTTCTCCCGATCACCTCTTAAAAATGCTGAGGCCACAGACTGGGATCCCAGGCCAGGACCTTCCTGCTCCCAAAGCTCCTGTTTGGGTCTGGTCTCAGGTTCTTGGCCCCAGAAGGGGCCCTGGAACCCAGGGGTTAAAGCCTGGGTATCTTCCTCAGAGGGGACCAGTTCCTCCTCCTTTGCTGAAGAGGTAGTAGTGGCACCAGGCATTGAAGCTATCTCCTTTCTGTTGTCATGGGCACCAACAATGCTTGGCCCACCCTCTTCTTTCCCTGGGGCTGCAACACAGAAGTCAGAATCCTCTGAGAGACCCAGATTGGGGAGAGAGTGCATAGAGCCACTGGCCTGTTCCCGGAACTTGCCAATCTCAGCCTGCACTTCCCTTAGCTTCCGCTTGTATCGTTGGGCATCCCCCTTTAACTGGTGGTTGTGACTTTGAAGGCTGTGGATCAGGTGGCGCATCTCACGGTTGATTGGCCCCGCCTGCTCGTTGGCTGCCAGGTTCTGTTCAAACTCAATGCGTAGCATCTCATACTCTTTGCGTACCTGAGCCAGAGTGTCCTCCAGCTGGATAACCTCTGTGCGCAGCTGCTTCTGCAGCCCCAACTCATTACTCTCCATGTGCTCAATTTGTCTCAGGTGGGAGTTCTTGGTGGCCAGCAGCAGCCCCCGGGCCTCATCCAGCTGGGTCTTCACTTGCAGAGACTCATTATAAAGCAGTGAAAACTGGGCCTGCAGCATTTGGTACTCCTCTGTCTCCTGTACCACCTCCTCAGGAAGGCTCCGTAGGGCCACCTTGAGGCGCTCATTGGTCCGCACAGCCCCCTGAAGTTCCACCTGTAGCTTCTCCAGTTCTGCCATGTGGCTGTTGGCTAATTTCTGATTTTCCTCTAACTCCGAATTCAGCATCTCAAACTTCTGCAGGCTGAGTGTGATCTGGCCCCCCTGGAAGCCTGAGGAGCTCCCAGAGACATAGTAGCCAGAGTTAAGTTGCTCCAAGGCCTCCGCCAGGTGCTTTTTGAGCTTTTGCTCACGCTTGTGCAGCTTCTCAATGTCCCACTGCAAGTCCTCTACTGTCGTCTCCATCTCCAGCACTTTGGTCTCTGCTGATATCACTTTATCCTGGAGCTCAGAGTACTCCAATGAGATATGGTGGTGCTTCTCCTGTAGCTGGGTGGCCAAGTCCTGAAGTCGCCGGTTATCACGGCCCAACTCCCGAGTGTATGCCCGAGCCACCTCCCCGTGGGGCTCACTTGCCCCTTGACTGTATGCTCGATGACACAGTTCCTCTACCTGGCGCTGTAGGCGGTCTGAAGCCTCCATCACACAGGACACGGCTACCCTGGAGAACTCCATTCGGCCCTGCAGCTGCCGCTCCACCTCCTCACTGCTGCTGGTGCCCTGGACCACCACGAAAGCCAAGGCTGGCTCACTGAGCGGGGGCTGCAGCTGCCCTGGCATGTTCTCCCTCAGTTCAGACGTCCTCGGCTCAGTGAGAGGGGTCTCAGCACATGTCGGCCTCAGCTGGGTCCCAGGCGCCTCTGTCCCTGAAGACAGCTCCCCCTGGTTCTCAGGATGGCAGAGAAGGGCTTGCACAGTTTCACCCAGCCGGGCCCAGTAGTGATTGACGATGAGGACTGTGGCGTCATCCGTGGCCTGCCGCTTTTCCAGCTTCTCGATGCGTTCTCGGAGTTCATCTTCACACGCCTGCCGCTGTTCCAACCGCTCTGCTAGTTTCTTGTTCTTGAACTGCAAAACCTTCAGGTCCATCTCCTCCGTGGAAGAGCGGTCCCCAGGACCAGTGGTTCTCTGTAAGCACGGTTGAGGGCTTCTCCGCGCGGCTCCACTGCTCTCCGCCTGAAACCCAGCCGCTGGAGGAGCGTTGGTTGCCCAGACAACAACGTTAGATGCGAGGTGGCGCTGGCACTTCCGGTAGCCTCCGGCACTTCCGGTCGCCCACAGCAGGAGCAGCCCAGCGCCGCCATCTTGGACTTCCCTGACGTCACCGGCCTACACATTCTTCTAGTATCAGTTTCTATGCTTACACATCTGGAAGTCTCTCGGTGGGCAGCGTCAGATACAGGGAACAGGTTTTCACCAGGGGACAAGCCAAGCAGTGTGGGGTCATCAAGCGGCACGACCACCTACCCACGTCACCCAGGAACCTGTCCATTCCGTACAGAACGGACCCCCACTTGTGACGAGTAATAGGAAATTAAATCTGCCACATCTATTTATTGGAAAGTATGTGTATACATGGACTTATTTCCTTAATTATTTCAAGGATATGTTGCATGATTAAAAATTATGTTTAAGTCCATTAACATTTTCTTTGATGACTGGTTTCATTTTTAACATTTAAAAGTAATAGGAGTTGAGAAAGCTTGGCAATTAATTCAGTGATGTTTGCACACTCATTTAAAAGCACCTGACGCCGCACTGTCAGTTCCCCTTATGCTAGGGTTTTAAGGTGCAATCATCAGAGAGAAGGGCCCTGCAGTGTTTTTTCATATAATTCTAAAAATGACTCAACCTTTGAAGTTAGATTTATTCTTAATAGATGTTTAGTTTGCGTTGTTGTTTGTTTGTTTTTTGTTTTGGTTATTTTAAATTGTGCAACATTTATTCAATATCTAGTAGGAGCCTGAGACCATATATTGACAGTGAGGTTGCAATACAGGACAGATGGTGTTTCTTCTTAAAAAAACTTTATAGAAGAGTTGGTATAAAACTACTTCACAGTCATCTAGAACCTTTGTTAAAAATAACGTTTCAGGACCTCAAGAGTAAGACTTAGAATTATGAATGATAACAAGCAATTCGGGTGATTCTGATTCCAGGCGCACATTTTTAGAAGATATTGCCCTAAATAAGTAATGGGTTGGGGGAGGGAGAGCAACTAATGAGGTTTCTGTTTGATGTAGCTGGTGCCCAGGTACAAGGGCGGTGGATGGTTATAGAGATTTGCCCTGTCTAAGAAGTAAGGGCCGAGAAAGTAAGAGAAGCCTAAACTCCAGCCTATAGTCTGAATCTCTGCCCCCAATTCCCTCTCCTGTAATAGCCTGAGCCACAGGATTGAATCTGCCCAAGGGGCACCTTGTTCTCCTTAGCCCAGAGGGCTTTTATAAAGTATAACTGGCCATTTCCAGAGTCTTATGTTATTCTGAATCCATCAAGCAGTTTTAAAGAGAAATTAGCAATTACAGTAGAGGAGACATAAACTTTAAGCTTCCAACCTTATAAGAGATGTATGTAATTAAACAATTCCCACGTTTATTGATATCTAGCCACACATAGCTCTCCAAGAGAAATAAGATGTCAAAGATAATGGAGAATTTGTACTTAACCAAAGCTTTGTTTGAGGCTTAGTTTGCTTCTGTCGTCATATATTATCTCCACTCACATCAACAGTATTGAATAGAATGTCCGTGGGTCCGTCTATGCATAAAGGCAAGTTATTTTTCTAATAAAATAATTCATTGCAAATATACATTCATAGAAAGGACAAGCTTATTTCTGCTTTTAGAAAAATTTATTATGTTGTTTTGGGAATTATCTTTTATTTCATCTGGAGTTTTCTCTTTTTGAGAAAGTATCCCTGTCCTATTAGGCAGAAGGCCTCTTCTCTCTTTATTCTCCTGCTAAACACCCGTGATCTAACCTTGAGCCATCCACACTAGACTTGACGCTTTCTTCTTTCTCTCCTTCATTTTCATTTATCAGCTCTTATGTCAGCATGCTCACACCTCAAGCTATCATTTCAGGCTTCTAATTGCTCTTTTTGTCTCCATTGTCTCTCATATCATAATATACCCTGCATGTAATAGCTTAGTGGCTCTAGTGATTTTACACTTTCACAGTCCTCCTTAGGGCAAGTTCTGAAGTCTTTCTTAACTTCCATTCTAACTTTATTTTCCATTACATGTATGCACTCTCACATTCTATGAATATTACATGTATACCATGATGTATCTTGTGGATGTATTCCTAAAAAGTTAATGTTTTACTATGCAACTATAAGAAAGAAAGATCTCTTATCCTTTGAGATGACATGGAAAGACCTGGAGAGTATTATGCTAAGTGAAACAAGCCAAGCAGAGAAAGACAAATATCACATGATCTCACTTATTTGTGGAATATAATGAACTAAACAAACTGCTGAACAAAATTAACTCAGAGACATAGAGGTGGGGTACAGACTGACAAGCCTCAGAGGAGGGGGGGCTTGTGGGGGAAGAGATAAACCACAGAACTTACATTCATGTATGCATGACCAATGAACACAGACAACAAAGCTAGGGATGGGGCGGGGGGGAGGGGGAGGAGGAGAGGAGGGTGTCAATGGGGGAAAAATGAGAAACATCTGCAACAAAAACAAATAAATAAATAAAAAATTAAAATACAATTTAAAACACACACACACAAAGTTATGTTTTAATTTATAGAGTTAAAAATATCTCAGATGTGTAAACAAACTTATCAAGAAAAAAATGGAAGTTTTTTAAAGAAAATACTGTATAAACTGTAACAAGTCATGTCCATGCAAGCCAACTGTTGCTAAGTAGGATTTTGTATCTGCCACTTCTCCAGAGGTATGGCTGTTCTGGAGCAGGGGAGAGCCACTGTTTCTTGGTGCCCTTTAAGTCTCCTTTTGTAAAGTCTCTATTTTAACACTCTCAGAGGCCATTCCCTCCTGTAGGTATATTTATAAAGGAAAGCAGACAGCTGTTGAGCTGAGTGGCAGCAGCAGGTGTCTCTGTGGGATGCCCCTGGAAACAAAAAAAGCTGGATTCCCCTGCTGGGTGTAATTTTATGAGCTCTCTAGGAGAATTTCTTTACGATCCTTTTCTCTCCTATACATAATATGTACTGATGATTGTTACAAAAACCAATTTCAATAACATTTTTAGAAATTCCAGCCTTAACAATCATAAAAGTTGAGAGCTATTAGGACTTCTTGCACCTATCCACAAACCATCAAAATGAGCACATCTTTTATATAATGATATCTTCAGTGATGCTACATCGAAGGAAAATGCTTCCTACCTTTATCTGTTTTACATGTTGTTTGCCGTGTGTTCCAGGTGTTCCAGATAGAATATACATTTAAAACCCCCATTGAGCAGCCTCTGAACTACAGACTGAGCAAAGAAGACAGCAATTAACTCCCACTACTCTTATAATAGTGTTATTTAGGCCCTAACTGGCCTCTCTAGTGAGATTAGTGCCCCTATTTTCTCTTTAGTTTTTATGGTATGTATTTGACTGCCAAACATGTATCGCCTTGACTGTATCGACTTAATCTCTCTCACTAACATAAATATAGTGAGGGCATTATGCAAATGAAAAGAAGCAAAGGTAAATTGAATTGACACTTTATTAAAATCAAACAGTTCTTGCAACCCTGAAAATTATATTCAATAACATCATATAACTGTACATTGTTCTTTATAAAACTTCAGGTAATTTCTGATTTGAAAACACTTGGACTATATGCTACATGTCAGTGATTTATGAAACTTCTGAAAAACAGCTTAATATGGAATGCATTACCTTTTATAGCCACTACTGGGCCATGGCCCATTCTGAAAGATAGCCGAGAGTCGGGATGGCACTGTGATACCGTGCCATTGAAAGTTGGCCTCACTGGTGGAATTCTGCATTTTCAACTTCCCTAATCCTAGATGGTTTGCTAACAAAAAGTCCAACTAGGTAGGCCTCAAATAAAAAGCTGACTTCGTACGGTTCACACTATAGCTTGACTCTCTGTGCTCACAAATACCTCCTCCGGGTGCTAGAACCATTTCTAAGCAGAAATGAGGATGCAGTCCAAAAGAATAAAAGGGAAGAAAGCAGAAAAGGGGAAAAATACTGATCTCCCCATGAGAAAAATCACATGAAACAGTTGGAGGAACCATGAAATGAGTTCATATCTTAAATTTACCAACTATAAAATAATGTGATTCCATTGGAAAAAAATTATAAGACTAAAATGCAAACCACAGTCACTGGATTATTACTATCAACAGTGTGACTAATACTTTTGTTTGTTTTTCATTAAGGTGACATACTTGTTTGATAATGGAGGGACAGTCTTCTTTGCTATTTTTATGGCAATATGGGGTAAGTATATTTTTCCATTACTTACTTCTTAGCCCTCATTCTCTGAGGCTATTACTGTATTTCTTTATACACAGACACACACACACACACACACACACACACGTGCGCACACACAACATGTATCAATTCAACAAAGTCTCTTGCTTTGTTTGCCCTCTTCACACATTCACTGCTTCTTTGGGAATTTATCTCTTGATCTAATTCTCTAATCCCTACAGCTCAGACCTTCCTGTACTAATGAATATTTTTTCCTGCCAAAAGCAGATGGTAATTAATAACAAACTGAAACATGCTAAATTCCAAGTTAAGCTTCTTGTTATTTTCTCTCTTGAAACTGATGCTCAGATAATTTTGTTTGCTTAACATTTCCATTAATCTATTTTAACCTTATTTTTTATATATTTAGAGATGCAGAATCTATTCCATATGATTGACTATCATGTATTAATGCCTACTACACATATAAATTCTGTCCCTATCTAACATCTTAAAATTGTAAAAATTATGTACAGGTACATGCTTTGGCTGACTTTTTTCACTACTTTTCTCACTGAGTTTTTAAAGTACCCAATTAATTAATGCCTAAAGTAAATCAGACAGATTTACTTTTGGAATCCCCCATCCTTTGAAGAAAGGCAATTACTTTCTTGATTAGGGTAAGCTTTCCTCACAACCCTGTTGAATGCAAAGTTATTGTCAACTTAGCAGTTAAAGGGACTGACCATATAAGTGCTAATGCAGAAAAATAAAATGTACTAGAAGACAGGTCTTTCACTCCCATTCTCTAAATTTCTCAGAAACAGAAGTTCTGTCCCATATATTCTTTCCAGCTTTAAGTCAAAAAATTAAAGAACAAATATTTTTACTTCCAGCATTCCTTCAACCAGAATGTCAACCGTGATGCATGGTGTTAGGATTACAGGGGAGCAGTAACAGTCAATCCATTGATTTTTGTCAAAAAAAAAAAAAAAAGTAAAAATGTAGTTTTGGTTGTCTATTTTCATTGAAGGGATTTTAAATTAAATTATCAAGCAGGGCAATCAAGGTGAAATTGTTTAGTCTCATGTGATTCCACAAACATTTCTTTCTGAGGAAAAAACAGACCAAAATACAAATTGAGGTTACTCAATAGATACTTCAGCACAGCCAAAAATGTCAAGAAAGGAAACTTTGTGGATGATATATCCTGTCTTTATGTTTCTGCTACTAGGTTCAGGCTTTTACAGTTCTTCTTGGCACAAGCCACATGACAGTCATCTTGCTTCAGCTTTTGGAAGATGGGTTGGTGAAAAGGCCAGGATGTAGGTAAACACTTGCCAAACCTTTTCCCCCGTTTTTTATACTGAGGTACGAAGTGGAGGTATGTCATCCATAGGAATGCCATCACGTGCACTTTCTTGTCCTGCTGGCATGGATGAGTCATTCACAGTTGAGCTGTAATAACTAGCATTCCCAAAACTCACATCATAAGGTTCCGGTGCATTGTCTAATCGCAGAACTAAGAAAATAACCAAAAAAAAAAAGATGTTTTATAGTGACAGCCTGAAAGATGCATACATACTCAGGCATCTGCCAGACCATAGGAATTGTTCTAGATGAGTACGTACATCTTTCCCTTACATGGGCTTTTAAGACATTAGTTTTGAAATTTTAACTTAGTAGATCTTTTTCAAGCCACATTTCTTTCTACAACTAAGGTAACAATTTAACTTCCAAAATTCCCCTACTGATGGACCAAAACTAAAGGGACTGAGGGAGAGAACACAACAAAAGTGTAGTTATACTTTGTATAAAGAAGTATGGACAGATATTTCATTGATTGGATATGATTTCAGAGTCTTGTCAATAAGGTCAGAATTTTTACTTCTGGTGTAAAAAACACCTTTGAATAAGGGAAGAGCATTAATTTTAAAATCGGTATCATTTTTCTACCAAGTGTCTCCATATCTCTATGCTTGAGCCATTGAACATGGAGGCCAGAGAAAACTATTTGGAAAAGCTTGTGTTTCCTGATGATAGATCCAACTTATCATGCACTTGAAGTACTTTATTATTTTGGTTATGTTATTTGAGAAACAGAGACTAGATCAGAAAAAAATCTTTGGTCCATTTCTGTCATATGAATCTATGAACCCCTTCTAGATAATGTAGTGACTGTTAGCAATCCTCATTTAATTAAAACCATGGTGTGCTGGTGAAGTTCTGAAAGTTGTTTTTACCTGGTTCATTCCTATCATCATAAAGTCGCCGATGGGAAAATGAATTCATTTTCCTTTTTCCACATAACAAGTAGCCAACAAGACTAAGCAAGGAAGCACCCAGGATAGCACCTAAAATGGCCCCAAATACTACTCCTGTATTTCTGTTCTCTGGAGAGAAAAAAGAAAAAATAATTTACAAATAAGAAATAAAAATGATTGTTCAAAGTACAGATATATATATAGAGAGAGACTTTCAATGTACCACAGAGAATATTTAACAATGTTTTTAAAATATTAGATAATGGTGATTGTGTGTGTGTGTGTGTTTTATAAAGTACTGAGTATTTGGAATGTATTAGCAAAATATACTTGCTGATAAAACCAAACTTTAAATTTTGAATTACTTCTAAGTCCTAGTTTTAGAACTGTCTCATTACTCACAACACCAACAGGAGTGAAATGTCATTAGGACATCATTTCTATGTTGAATGCTATATTGTTTTTAATCAACTCTGAATCTCTGATGTACTTTCATGGTGAAATGAACTTTGAGCTTATTTCTATAATAATTCAGAAGTAAAAAGCTAATGGGAGTAAGTGGGTAATAGAAAATTAGTCCACAAAACTCCAAGTGAAAAGGTACTACAAGGAGAAAGCAGAATATCCTGGTAAAGATATTTTCAAGTAGAACAAATGACCAAAGCAATCAAAGCAAGATGTTGTCAATGCCTTGCACATAGGGAACAGATGTGTAGGTCTGAGCTTAGGAGGACCCAAAATTTTACTCTATCATCCCCTTCACCAAGTACCTTATTTGAAGACTATCATCAATAAACTACTTACTGCTCCATGAACTCAAATTAAGTGTATTTTATTTTTTTTAAATGTCTTGAGAAACTTACTAATTAGGTAGGTAAGGAGTCTTATAGAGTCTCTGATTCTATATGAAACCATATTTATTTTAAAAATTAACCTTCACACTGGCAAGTTAACAGAAAAGTATTACTAAACAAAAGTGAAACAAAATTAACTTTTTTTTTTTAATTAAAGAGCAATGGTTGGCAAAAGTACTCAGTGTTCTCAGTATGTATTTTGAGTTTAGAGAGATGAAAGAAATAGTATTTTGAATATATATGTTTCTGCTGAATATTAGAATATGTATGAATAAAATAGATGTGTTAAAATTAAAGCTAATATAAAAATATATGTAAATACAATACATTGGTTGCAGAGCTACAGTAAAGCCTAGATTTCATAATTTAAAACTTTTTCTGTACACTAGTAACAACTTTTAAATAGGAATTTATATATATGATTTGGTGTTCACATCATTAATCCTAAAAAAAAAAAATATAATGAATTTTCATTAAATATTAGAGGTCATTTTCATTTTATATTTAAAGATTGATGTAATTCATAAAAATAAAACATAAAACTGTCCCCATATTACAATTTCCTTGCGATACTCACAGTTAAATTCCATTTTTATGGTGTTCATTAGTTACTAAACTAAAAATTAATGAGGATTTCCTCTTGTTGAGTTTATTTACTTAAAAAAAAAAAAAATCAGTATTTTATTTCCCTGTGATTCCATGGTGGTTTCAGATCATTTATAAATTCATTTACTTCAATTTTCAAAACCCACATTCATATAGTTTTAAAGTTTAATTGAACAGTATTCCTAGCATCTGAAATTTCAAGTACTCTTTCCAAAATTCAGTGGAAATTGTTACCCAGTATCTCAAAACTGTATCACTACCTCAGTGTCTATTTCTTTTCAGCCTAACCTACTTCTCATTTTGTCCCACTGCCTCCTCATACAGTAATGACTGGTATATGCTGACTTAAGTTCTAAAGTCCCCTCACTATTTCCAGTGAATATCATGGTCACCCCTAAAAGTGAGAACCGCCTGAGCTCCTGCAGTCTCCTGTCTTCTAATGTGCCGCGTTCCTTAGATGTAATGTATATGACTGACTTGGAGATCATTTCACACCAAAGGAAAGTTAACTTGTTTATATTTACCTTCTTGGGGGTCTGATGTATTTGGAAAGATTTTTGAATTGTTGGTGAATTTTAAGGTGGGCTGTAGAGTCCTCTCTTGATAGGGGGTAAACCCCGCCCAGCTCTCACTGGTAGTGTTAAGCCATTCACCTGGTTCCATTGTCATGGGGTTCACAGTGATGGTTGGTGCCGAAGGGAGGATGCTAACTGTAATGGAACTGTTGTCAGTTTTCATGGTATCATTGTCCAAAGACCAAGTGAACGTTTCTGAAGATTCAGCAGATGTAGCATTGGGAAGTGCTGAGCTGGACAGAGAACTTTCACCTACAGATGAGTTCCAAGGCAATCCAGACACCACGCTGGGGACCGAGGGAGAGCTTTTGGAGGATGTGGGCGTGGGTCTTGGACTCCTGGAAAAGGCTGTGGTCAAATTATCCACAACATCTGTTGTTCCATAACTTTCATTTGATTCATCCCAAAGAGAGGAATTACTTGCATTGGGATTGGAAGTTTCTCTATTTTCTTCATTGAAGTTGAATTCTCCTTCTCTTTTTGAAGGAACATATTCTTTTGTCATATTTTTTAAGCCATCTGCAATGTTTGCTGTTGTGTTTACTTCCAGACTTTCTTCCCCATGGCTTACAAACAGTAGTAAACTAAACAAGGTTAAAATCAGCAGAATTTGGGCTGAGGTCAACATTGTAGCCTTTTTTGGTATTGGTGTTATTCAGGGGAATCTAAAAGAAAATAACAATCATTTGAATTATTAAAAGAAGATCTACATTTTTAAGTGGTAAGATCTAGAAACCTGATGCTGAGATGATAATACTATGCTCTTAATTCCAAAAGTTTGTTTTCTTTGAATTATTTACTAAGACTAGAATGACTGAGTTCTGTATCCAGGTAACATCTTTTTCTTTTCCTCACTGGAAATGCCATGCAGAAACTTTGCCAGGCCAGACACCACTCTTCCACTATTTCAAAGATTATTTAGCTTGGGAAAAGTTAAAAAAATACACCCCCAAACACAGACATTATAAGACTGCTAGGGAACAATTTTAAATATTCTCAGTATCGTGCACGTAGAGCTGGCTGATTTCTTCAACCTATTTAGGAAAACATTTTCTTTATAAGATGTAATTTGGAATATTATGAAAATGATGTTACTGAATATGCACTAAATGTACCACTTTATTTTTTTATTTTTTTTTTATCCTCACCCGAGGATATTTTTCCATTTTTTGTACAGATAGAATGGGAGGGAGAGAGAGAGAGAAAGGGAGAGAGAGTGAGAAGCATCGACGTGAAGGGACACATCGAGTGGCTGCCACCCGCACGACCAACCAGGGCCGGGGACAAACTGCAACCGAAGTACGTGCCCTTAGCGGGAACCGAACCCGGGTCTCTCCGGACTGCAGGCCGACGCTCTAACCGCTGAGCCAAACTGGCCAGGGCTAAATGTACCACTTTAAAGTGAGTCAGGCAGGGACCCCACTTGAAAAGATTTTATACCTAATTTCAGTTACTTGAATTTGAAATTAACATCTGTTTTTCAAAATATTTTTCGTGATGCCCTTCATTCTATTCATCTCAAAGTAGGGGAAGTCAGAAAGCCTTATAGATTTTGGGATATTCCTTAATTATATTTCTTGTTGTATCAGTGAAGAATCTGGTTGGGGGTATGTGTGAAATAAATTACCTAGCTGGAACGTGGCAGACTTGCAATTTGAAACCATGGTCCTCTAATCCAGGCACATCATTTTGCTTTTAGTGTGGAAGTGCATAGATAACAGGATAGGGGGAGAGGTTTTTGAAATTAGATTTATATTAAAATTCAAGCTTCTGTCACACATAATCTATGAAAAACCATCATGATAACAAGCAATTGCTTTATCATCATCATCATAATTATGCTGACTTCACATTGTTGTTCTGAAGACTAAATGAAATGATTTTCGTAGAAGTACTTTGAACAATATCTGGCCTAAAGTAAGCAGGTAATAGACGTTAACTTCCATTTCTTATTATTAACATATAATATTTCTGTATGTGTCTTGCACTTTACAAAGTGTATAATATCATCTCAATCATCACAATGATCCTATAAGACAAGAAAAAAATAGCTTGTATTATCCCCATTTTGTAGATGAAAAAACTGAGGTTCAGAGTGGCTAGTAACTGGAGCTAATAAATGGAAGAGGCAACACTGAAAGGCACGTCTACTAACTCCAACCTAATTATGTGCTAAAATTTAAAGTGTTTTGCATTGAAAATATTATCTTTAAAAAAAATACTTGACTATTTCTCCTCAAACAATGAAGTCTGAAAACTGATTTTATATTATTTGAATTGAACTTTAGAGTGTATTTTTCACTAAAAGCCTCCAGGACAACTGAAGATAAGAGAAAAGAGAGGTGCTGCTGCTACTATTATTATTATTATTATTATTATTCCTCACTCGAGGACATTTTTCCATTTTTTTTTTTGTTCAGATAGAGTGGGAGGGAGAGAGAGGAAGAGAGAGAGAGAGAGAAACATTGATGTGAAAGGGACACATCCGGTGGCTGCAACCCGCACGACCAACCAGGGCCAGGGACAAACTGCAACCGAGGTACGTGCCCTTAGTGGGAACCGAACCCGGGCCTCTCTGGACCGCAGGCCAATGCTCTAACCGCTGAGCCAAACTGGCCAGGGCACTGCTGCTATTATTTAGGTCCAATATTACCAGCTATTTTTGAAAAGCTCTTCCAGAAATCTTGACAAATATTTTCAACCATGGTGATTTTTCATTAGGGTTTGAGGAACTTCTAAGTACCCCTCTGATTATCTTTTGATTTTAATTGTCACCCTCCTTACTTAGTGATTTCTTACATAATGGTACAACTTAAATATATCTATAATACCTCCTGACATCCTGATATATCTTTTCCTTCAAAAGCTTTTAGCAAGCAGTCCATGATCATGGATTCCTAAGGTTTAAGGATATACTATACCCCAGGCCCTATATTCCTCACTTCAGGAAACCTCCTTAACGAGCAGTGCTGGCAGGCATATGAGAACATCCACAGGGGCATTATTTCGAAGTCTCCAACCTAAACATCCACCAGTAACAAACTGGTTAATAAATTGTGTAGATTCATGTGTGAAAATTAAGAAATGAAAGCTACAAACAAAAATAGGGGAAATGATCACAAATACAATGCAGAGCTTAAAATGTCAGCTGCACTGGTGATTCTATGTATATAAAATTCAGAAACAGGCAAAGAACTACAGTGTTTGAAGCCAAGCAAGTGGTCCCTTGTGGAGGGGAAGGAGACAGTCTGGACTGGGTGGGTATGGGCAGGGCTTCTCTGTGCTCAGGAGACCAGGTTTCTTGACCTGGTAGGGGTTACATAAGTGTCTGTATTTGTAATAATTCTGTTTATTTATATTGCATTTACTTTTTTGTCATAACAAAGAAAATTGATTTAAGTCCTAAAAATTGTTCACGTAACTGGAAAACATACTGTTTATTATAGCAGATGTTTTGCATGTTTTCTCCCTCAATTCTTACTAGAAGCAATCAAACAATGAGAAGGGGATTATTAATCCCTTTAATCATCCCTAGTTAACAAGTGATTTAACAGATGATTAAATAGGGCATAAAAATGTAAATAATGTGACCAAGGACACACAACTAGAGACACACACTAAAGAGAAAGGCTTAGATTTCAAACCTTGGCATTAAAATTAGTAATCACTCATCTACGTAAGAAAAGTTACAAAGGAATGTAGAATTTGGTACTCAGCTGCTTTTTGGAACTTTTTCCATCAACATTGTCTTGGTACAGCTTCTACAAATTTTATTATTTTAATCAGAGGAATTTATAATCCCATATTTTAAACACTGGAAAAATAGGGTCTTCCGGCTTAAGTACCTCTCAAACACATTAATATACTTTTATCCTAATTTAAGATTCTAACAATTGTCTCGATGGTTTGTAGATAGATACCTTTACCATGTGTTTTCAGATTAACATGAACAAAACACAAGTGATTTCCCAGGACCTGAATGAACTCACCATTTTATTAAACTGGTGCCTCACCCAGCACAGTTAAAATGCTATTCCATTTAGTTTTAAAATACCCACCTTTTCAGAAACACCCTTCTCCTGTGAACTGTGTCCGGTTCGCGGCACACATGATAGGCTTTTTCATGATCTATGGCCAGTGATCTGATTAGTTAATGAATTGTACTTGGCGCCTGCCTTATTATTATTATGCAGTTTGAATCACTTTTCCTCTACCTAAGCTTTCTGGTTATTTTCTCTTCCTAATGAAGTGGTCACCAGAAGAGGGGAACGTCTTTTAGCGGTTCTTCTCACTTTCTCACAATGTTACACGAGGAACCACGTCATTGAGCTTTCTTGTCCCCTTCCCGAAACGAGAATCCACATATCAAGAGTCAACAAAGTGAGTTTCGTTGTCCTGTTTCCCTTTGCCTGTAACATGGAACCACCAAGGGGATCTCTCTACCCTTTACCCCACTTTCGATTGCAACGTGAAAACCTAAGGTACCAGTACCCCAAATGAGCCCAGCATGCTTACAGTTTATCCCCAGGGAAAAGGAAGGGCAGAGAGGGATAAGGCGGAATGCTATGAATACTACTGTAGTTTATTCCTAAATGAATACCACCGTGGGTAAGGCTTTTGTGAATATTGATTTATTCCTGTTGCTGGGGCGTGGCGGCAGGGGACCACTTTGCTTCTGTCCCCTGGCTTCTAAGAGAACCCTTTACACCTCTTCCTCAGGTCCCTTCGTCTTAAAGGGATAGAAACACCCAGGAATAGAAACTGTCAGCTATTCGGAATGACAGCCCTGGACTTGTGCTGGAGAACAGACTAAGCAACTTTAGTTAAGTCCAGTCCATTCGGAATTGAATGAAGCACGTTGTAAGCAGCAAAGGCTAATGGAGGTGCTACAGAGGCTCCAGGGGGCGAAACAAAAGTGTATTCGTTCTTTTTGCATTTTCCCCTCAGCTGTCTCTGTCTGGAGTTCAAATACTTAAATGTGGCGTGTACTTGCTGTGTAAAACTAAGTTATGCTGGATGATGGATGGCATGCTTCCGTGTACTGAAGCGCATCTGTCAACCAGGTGCAGTGTAGAGGGAGACATAAGTTGGGGTGAAAGAAACGTGAAGTTGTAATGGGAGAGAAATTCAGCACGACCAACTCGACAGCATCATCTCCCCTTCTGTTCTTTGCCCCTTCTTGTCCGTAGGTGGAAACCCTCAAGAGGAATTTTGAGGGTGTAACATAGGAACAAAGCTGAGATCAAACCCAGTAAAGCTGATTGCAAACCCAAAAAAAGCTCTAAGATTAGAACTATCAATTATAAAGTAAACAGGAAAAAAGATGATGTCCATCCACCTTGTGATATCTTAAACACAGATTCTAAACTTTCCTATATATATTGAAATGTTTGTATTGTTGCTAGTATTTAACAACGTGTAAAATATAAGAGAGTGTGGGTTTCACTGCTTTTTAAATAGTTCCTTTACACAGAGAAAATGAACACTATTTTCTCCCTTTCTTTGGTGTTGGCTCTAAAAAGTGGTTTCATGTTACTACTTTTGTATGGAGGGCTGCGAGAGGTGGTGAGAGAGAGAGGAAGACAGAGACTGTGGCCATTATGGGAAGCAAATCCACTCTCTCTGCACGTGATTTTGCTTCTCCTGAAATGCATAAAGCCATTATTCTGCCCCGCTGCCCTGAGTCATACCCAATTTATACCAAGCTTTGAAAATAAGGAAGTTTCCTGCTGTGTCAGGTAATCAACCCATGCAGGGGAAGAGAAATGCCAGTCATTCTAAATTCAATCAAAACCAGAAATTTTAAATAAAAACATTAGTTCAGGTACACCTAGGGGATCATATGAAAACATGTTTCTGTAGTGAAATACATGAAGAGTATATACTATGCTACTTCCCTCTCAGTTGCTTTTGATCACTTCTTGTTATAGCTTTCAGGCTACAAAGAAAGACAGATGGGTTTTGTTTGCCTTTGTCATGGGAAACTCAGTCTGACATGTAGCCAGTGTCCCAGGCAGACCTTGAGTGTTACTATGAGTGGCTTTTCCAATCTTGCGCAGTATTTTGCTTTGCCTAAATGAAAGAGCTACAGTAAAGGAGGACATAAGGAATTATGCCTCTATAAATGCCTTTTTTATGAGGGTTTTGAAAGGGTGAGAAGACTTAACCATAAAGCAAGACTGTGCCTGAGAACCATGGGCATATCATTTTACTGTCATTTGCTTCAAAAAGAAAGACAAGAAAGAAAAGATAACCATGATTTTTCTTTTAAAAAAAAAAAACAACCAAAAACATGTTATAAACGTTTGTGAACATCATCTAGTTAAAAGACTGAGGTATGTATAAATCCAGGAAAAATATATAGAACTTCATACTCCCTGCTAACTTGGGTTTTCTCAGACATAGACATCAGGACTGAAATAGTTAGGTAGGAGAGAGCCATGCCTAAAGAGAAAGAATCACTGTTTCTCCAAAAGACATATTCTGGACCCATATGCCCGAGCATGGGCTTTTCAGCCTTCTGTCAAGTTTCACTGTCTGTAAAAACAGCCTCCATGAATCAAAGAGAGAGTGAGTGAATGGTAAAGAAACATCCTCACGTAGGAGCCGTACATAGCCACAAACTGGAAATAATTTTAAGGAACTGTATTTATATCTCTGTTCATGGGATGTCTTTTGTAGCACTGACTTAGCCTTTAGTGTCCCAGCGAGTGGTGGACATGTGCACATACCATGCTAAGTAATATTATATCCACAATATTTTGCCAATTTTTTAAAGAAAGTCTTTGAGAACATAATTCATTGTATTGGAAGATTGTTTTTTAGAAACTATCATAGTCTAATGCTGGAGCAACAACCTTGAAGCCCAAATGCATAATTTAAATCTAAATATTCTATTTATATTCATGCTTCAATCTCCACTTTAAATGTTTTAAAACTTTTACTAAGATATGACCTCAAAACTGTCCTAGTCGCGGATGTTTTAAGTTAGGTTTTTATTTTAGCTCCTCAGCTGGTTTCATCATCTAGCAAATTTGGCAGTAATTCTTAAAGTTAACTAACTTAATGCAAATGCTCATTTGGAAGGTAATTACTTAATGAAATAACTACCTGTCTTTACAAGGGTCTTTGTAGCTAACTTCCCAGATTGTTCTGACAAAAGTTGAGCCCACTTTGATTCTCTTTGGAAAATCAGCAAAAGAAAGAGGGGCAGACAGAGGGACACAGGGGTGGGGGAGAAGGGATCCTACATAACCCAGCACCCAGCACACACTTACCTTCAGCTCTAGGAGGTGTTTACAAACAGGAACTGAAATATCACAGCTGTCCTGGCTAAAATGAGTCTGCCGGGCATTAGAGAAAGCAGAGGGGTTAAGTGTGACCACGTCCCACTAAGCAAGAGGGTGCCAGAGAAACAAAATTAGGTGGAGCTGGCTGTATCTTGCTTGTGTAATACAGCACCCAAGAACCTGACTGACCTGCTTCTCAGCTGTCAGCATGAAGATACCACCTCATTCAGGCCTTTAAAAAAAATAAGTCCAACCCTCCAGCTTTCATAGGTTGGTTGTTTTGACTTCAGGGCAGGCTAGTGTCTTAAGCGGTGGCAAAACAAGGGGCATTTATTTCGTGCTGTAAGTGAAAAAAGGACAAAGACATTGGTAACATCCCTGGTGTGTCAGGAATTTCTGACACATGCTAGGTTTGCGCTTTACAGGTGAGGAAACCAAAATGAGTCATGCCCTGCACCTGTCGCTGTGTGCTGGCCACAGGCTGCTCTCTTGACTCAGAAACAGCTCTTTCTTTCCCATAGGAAGATGTTCTGTTTGTGTACTTAAAACCTGAATGGAGAAAATGTAGTGGGGCGGGTAGTGAGGGGCCCTGTCTGCGGTGCACTGAAATCAGCTTTATAGAGAAGTTACACATAACACACAGTGAATCAATGTGCATTGGGATCCTTGAGAAAGCCGTAAGCTGTAAGTTAGCAATAATCACCAGGACTGAGATGGACTTTGTTGCTGACTTTCAGAAGTTTGAGGAGCAACTGGGCCCTGTCTCAAAATGTCCAAATGATCCTGAGTAATCCTGGGAGTTTTCTCGATTACGAAGTTTCCACCCCGGGTTCTCTTTGCTTTTACTCTCAGTTTAGAAGCCGGAGAGTTTCAGGAGTGCCCAGGTAATGCTGGAGTGAAATAGTAGAGTTGAATAACAACCTGGCATAGTTCCTTCACTTCCTTTCACGGCTTATGAAAGGGAGAAGAGTGAAACTGCACTTTCTGGGATATTCTGCACATCCATATTTGGGGACTGGCGCCGAGGTCTGTTCAGTGCAGTAAGCCTGAGGTGCAGGCTTGGTTTCTGTTGTGTGAGGAGATAGGTTTCCAGTTGCTGAGAGAGAAAGTGAAACTTTAGCTAAGGTTCAGGAGCTTCTAGTTGAATGCAAAGAATCTGCCCAGTTCATTGGCTCCAGGAAAGAACAAGGTAATTCTATAGTTTTCAATTTTCTGAAGCCCAAAGGCCCCTTTAGCGTTTGATTATAAATTAAGCCAACCCCTAAAAAAATGTTCACCCAAAGGATATTCAAGCTGTAGCTGCACTGGTATGAAGAAAAGCAAGTTCAATTTCATCAAGCAAGCTGGTAATTAACCAATGGCTTAATATAATTCAGTTGGTTATTTTCACATTAGTCAGTTACTATGAAAAAAATCCAACTGAAAAATATTTTATATCTGTACTTCGAGAACTGAACATGACTTGGCAGGATTGAGTGTACCACACCCTTACATCCTAGATACATGTATGAATATCATTACCGTTTTCTGACTTGACCTAATATTGATTATGGGCCTATACTAAGCATGGACATTACGAGGCACTTTTGCTACAAATCTCTACTTTCACTGCTATAAGAGCCAAAGCTCATTTTCCATGACCCCCTGGCCTCTTACCCCTTTTCATCATTGCCCTCCTGACAATCGTAACCAATTGATTAGAACTGACCCCATTTACTCCCCCCGTCATGAGCATTCTGGAAGTAAGCTATAAATGAAAACTAGGAGTAATTTAATGTTGCCTTAGTTATTACTTTGTTCACTTAGTTGTGATCAGAAACATTTGTGAAATCACCTGAGTTGGAGTTAAAAAGTAGTTTCTTGGCAAACAGGTTTCACTGAGATACATTTCCAGGTGTATGGCATGTTCTAGGAAAAGCCAATCCTGTGTCGGATCTCATTTCGCCAGAGTAACTCAACAATAAGTCAAGCCAGCTGAGATGATACATTGTACAATGTTTACTTTTTTTTTTTTTTTGTCCTTACTGTGGTGCCTTTCATCTGGCACCAATTGCTTTACACCCATTAATTAAATCTCACAATACATATTGGAAGAAGAAACACCTTCTCTTTGTCTGAAATGGTGGAACTACTCATAGGTGGATTTTCCAGAACATGAAATCACATATTGTCACCAATGGATTTGAAAACAGAAGCAGAGTAGCTTGGGACTATGTCTCAAAATCAAAGCATTGTTCTAGATTTAAGATGGTATTTTTTACAACTCATATAGCATTGCATGCCTGATGCTACTAACATCACACATCGGGAATTTGTTCCTATAGATCAAATTTATTAATAGCAGGTTATGAGTTTGAAACAGAATATAAACTGAATTCATATTTTTTCTCAATATAAAAGCACGGACACTTTAAGCAACAAATAAATATTTGATCAATAATAAAATAAATAACATGATGGTTACATTGGGCATAGTTCAGTAACATTCAGTATCGATACAGTGGACATTGATGACTGGAAAATTTCTTTAAGGATAATAATAGTTTCACTATTCTGCTACAATAGAAATAGAAGCGTCATTCTCACAGTTTTTTGGTGTGTTTTTTTAACATACAAGCTTATTTTTTTTCCTATTAAGTTACATGGTGTTATAATATGGTCATCTTCACTTAATTATAACTTGATGGAAAAGTTTAAAAACTCCATTTTGGTGCTAAGGGCTTTTGAGAACTATGCCCTTTGTTAAGTAGATGTTGTGACATAGTATATACATGTATACATATGTGCATTATGCAGATGGGGAGCTAAGGAAACTTGTACAGCTGATAAATCATATACACACTTTGCTTCAGCCATGGTTCAAGGACGTGAATAACAAATTATAACAAAACCTGTTGCATTCTTATCAACACATTTATGTCAGTGTGTTTTCTCAGCAAATGTCTTCTTGAGGTAACTGGTGTGAGTACAGTTAACGAGCACAGTGGTTCAGTCCTGGGGGAGCCAAGTGTGAGTGAGAAGGACAGCAAGGTGTGTGTGCAGAATATGGGTATGGTGTCATCTTGCCAAGATGGAGAGTTCCGGGCTTCCTCTGGGCTCCTGCACAGCCTAGTTCTGAAGTGAAGGCTCTTATTCCTAGCACCCAAAACAATTTTTCAACCCTGCAAGTAGCAGCCTGTTAGGAAATAATATCACCCTGCTGAGCAAGTACAAGGTATTCTGTTGTGTGGGAACACAACACGACTGCTTCATTCCGTGTGATGGAGCATACTGTTGTACGTTTCCTTATTTTAGAACCCTAACTTAATTATAGAGTCTAACCTCTTTAAATTATGGCTGCCCATTTTATCAATTATGTAATCAACTTTATATGGATGTAAGTGAAGATACAATCAGGCATATCTATAATAATATGGCAAAACTAGAAAACTAGCAGATTGATAATATTATAACTTATTTTTCCACCTTTAGGAAAAAAAAATCCAAGTGGTTTATTAACGCTTTCTAAAAGTATATATCCAGTCAGATAATTGGAAAATCCTAGGGCTTTTAATTTGTTTCTTTCAGTTAGAAAAGTTATAATAGCTAAAGGACCACCTCGGCAGCCTCGCCAAGTGCTCTCAGCACTGAGCCGGGACCTGGGGAGGCCCAGTGGGGGACAGTGAAGTGCCTGCCCTCGGTCTCTACACAGCAAAGGAGAGTCTGGATTCCTTCCTTGGCTCTGAAGCTGGGACAGAAGAAGAATAAAACTTTTTCATGACTTGAAGAGTATTTCGAAATCAAGTTCACAGGCAGCAAATAACAATGACAAGTGGCTTTCACATCCGTTTAAAAGACTGTATGTACTATAAACACTTTGTAGAGAATAATGAAAACATGTTGTTTTTAACAAAGTTGGCAGTTCCTAGAAGCTTTTAGCTACAGAAAAAAAAAAATTGGTCTGAATCAGGAGAGAATCTTTAAAATGAATACCTGGGGTTGTTGTAAATCTCCTCTTTTGAATAGTTACTTTGAACCAATAACCTGCCTTAGGAGTCAGAGTGACCTGGGGTAGAGTCAGGTTCATTTGGGGACAAATTCATTATTTCTGAACTTTATATCACTGCCAGTAAAATAGCAATAAAATTATTTCTGTAATACAAAGCTGTTGTGAGGTTAAGAAGTAAACATGTAAAACATTTAGCAGGATGGCTAGTACATATGTGTTTGAGTCATCATAGCTGTTCATGGGAAGAGATTCCCAATTTTAGAAGCTCTCTTTAAGAAACAAATATAGCCCTGGCTGGTTTGGCTCAGCGGTTAGAGCGTCGGCCTGTGGTCCAGAGAGACCCAGGTTCGGTTCCCGCTAAGGGCACGTACCTCAGTTGCAGTTTGTCCCCGGCCCTGGTTGGGTCGTGTGGATGGCAGCCACTCGATGTGTCCCTTTCACGTCGATGTTTCTCTCTCTCTCTCCCCATCCTCTCTCCCCCACCCACTCTATCTGAACAAAAAATGGAAAAATTGTCCTCGGGTGAGGATAAAAAAAAAAAGAAATGAATGTAAAATTATGAGTACAAAAGGAGGTACAAAAGTAAATAAACCAACTGGGAAAAATGACAAATTTGCCAATTTTAAAAAGCTCCAAATATGTAAATTCAAAATCCGGAAAAGTAGCAATGTTTTAATTAATTAACTTCCTGACACATCTCTGTAATGTTTTTGTCCTACAGTTTTATCTGCATATTTATTACCTCTGCATATGATGTCCAAAAATAATTTTCATACAAAGTATAGAAAAGCCCTGGCCGGTTTGGCTCAGTGGTTAGAGTGTCGGCCTGCAGTCCGGAGAGACCCAGGTTCGGTTCCCGCCAGGGGCACGTGCCTTGGTTGCAGTTTGTCCCCGGCCCTGGTTGGGTCGTGTGGGTGGCAGCCACTCAATGTGTCGCTTTCACGTCGATGTTTCTCTCTCTCTCTCTCCCTCTCACTCTATCTGAACAAAATATCAAAAAATGTCCTCGGGTGAAGATAAAAAAAAAAAAAGAAAAGAAAAGAAAGTATAGAAAAGTAATTTCGTGTTTCCTCTTCTTCTAGCACAGTTAATTGAAAGTTATTTTTTATTATTTATAGTTTTGAAAAGTTTATGTCAGCTTCTTAATATGTG